TTCTTCTTCTTCTCCTTCTTCTTCTTCTTGTTCTTCTTCTTGTTGTTGCTGTTCTTGTTTAGAGTTGTTTTTGCATGTTTTTGCAAGGTCTATGTCGCATAGCCCGGGACTGTCTATCACACCGGGGGGAACATTATGGACAATATCTTTAAGCCCAATACCAATACAAAGGAAAATTGCCACTTGTTAGTCGTATTGTCACTTGATCAACAGCCACTTGCAGCCACTTGCAGCCACTTGCAGCTACTTGGCAGCCATTTGGCAGCCACTTGCTCAAGCAGCCACTTGCTCAAGCAGCCACTTGCAGCCACTTGCAGCCACTCGCAGACACTTGCCCCAAGTGGCTGCAGCAAGTGGCTGCCAAGTGGCTGCTGGAGCAAGTGGCTGCCAAGTGGCTGTTTTTTTTAATCAAATTGCGCACCTCGTGCGCCCACAATGCAGACTTATCAACATTAAGCACGTTTTGAATTCATTGCATGCGAAAATTTCAGCTGCTGGCCAGCAGCAGGATTCCTTTGCTGAGCAGCAGGTTTCAGTGACAATGGTTTTTAATGCTGAAGCACAGCAGCAGGGTTCAGCTAGAAGTCTGTTGACGTGCAAGTGCCTATCCTAACTTAAGCTGCTGGTCAGCAGCAGGGAACCCTTGCTGAACGGCAAGTTTCAAGGCAGTTGTTGGGCAACTAATGATCTTATGGTTCAATCATGGTATAAGTGGCTGGTGACACTAACTGTCTGCTGCTGTGCAGCAGCAGGGTTCAGCTGGAATTTTGCTGGCCAGCAACCGTCTAATCTTGTTTAAGCTGCTGACCAGCAGCAGGGAACCCTTGCTGAACAGCAAGTTTCCAGGCAGTTGCTGGCCAACTGATGATCTTATGGTTCAGGCATGGGATAAATGGCTGGCGCCAGTTAACTTTTTGCTGCTGCGCAGTAGCAAGGTTCAGCTAGAATCTTGCTAGCCAACAGCATCCTTTTGAAACTTGCAGCTGTCCAGCGATGGAAAACTTAGAAGCACCGTTGGCCAACAGCAGCCTTCCTTTTTAGCAACGGTTTCCTGCAGCTGTCCAGCAGCAGAAACTTCAATAGGCAACCATATGAATCACAAACATCGTAGCCATTAATGGCCAACAAGAACCTTGCTGTTCAGCAAGGGTCCCCTGTTGCTGACCAGAAGCTTAAACTAGGTTAAATGGTTGCTGGCCAGGAAGATTCTAGGTGAACCCTGCTGCTGTGCAGCAGCAGAAATTTATTTACACCAGCCAATTATATCATGATTAAACCATAAGATGCCATTACTCGCCTAACAGCTGCCTTGAAACTGGTTGTTCAGCAAGGGTTCCCTGCTGCTGACCAGCTGCTTAAGCCAGGTTAGACAGCGACTTTTTTAAAACCGTGCAGCTGTCCAGCAGCAGAAACTTCAATAAGTGCTTAAACCAAAAGCGTTAAAACCTTTGTTGGTCAACGAAAACCCTTGCTGTTCAGCAAGGGTTCCCTGCTGCTGACCAGCAGCTTAAACAAGATTAGACCCTGTCAGGCTTTGCATCCTTGCTGATCAGCAAGTAACTATCAGTACCCAGCTCCATGATGACGAATGATCTCGGCATGCATCAGTGTTTCCATCAATGCTTGTTGATGCTTTTCGCATGTCGCCACAATGATTTCGATGGACGTCTTCCATATCTATCGATGTTGTTTTCATGGCTTCCTTTGCAAACTTTCATTTTTTGCAATGCACTTCGGTAAGATCTATAGGCACTGTTTCATCGAGTAAGGTTTCTCTGATACCACCCTTCCATGCAACCCTTTCATGTACACTGCCATTGTTTCAATTGATCCCTTTGATGATCTGCAATGTGCACCAGAGTTGCGCCCACTAAGCCTGGTGGCGCCTACCCCAGTTTTTAAATTGTTAAAGTTATCACCATGGATTCTATGAGTCCATGAATGGAAGTTCATGATCCTCATCATTTTCCATGGTTCCCCTGTTCCTGCTTAACAGCCAGCAAGTCAATGTACCATCAATGTACCATCAATGTACCATCAATGTACCATCAATGTACCATCAATGTACCATCCATGTACCATCAATGTACCATCAATGTACCATCCATGTACCATCCATGTACCATCCATGTACCATCCATGTACCATCCATGTACCATCCATGTACCATCCATGTACCATCCATGTACCATCCATGTACCATCCATGTACCATCCATGTACCATCCATGTACCATCCATGTACCATCCACGTACCATCCACGTACCATCCACGTACCATCCACGTACCATCCATGTACCATCCATGTACCATCCATGTACCATCCATGTACCATCCATGTACCATCCATGTACCATCCATGTACCATCCACGTACCATCCATGTACCATCCATGTACCATCCATGTACCATCCATGTACCATCCATGTACCATCCATGTACCATCCATGTACCATCCGTGTACCATCCGTGTACCATCCATGTACCATCAGTGTACCATCAGTGTACCATCAGTGTACCATCAGTGTACCATCAGTGTACCATCAGTGTACCATCAGTGTACCATCAGTGTACCATCAGTGTACCATCAGTGTTACCATCAGTGTACAATCAGTGTACCATCAGTGTACCCAATCAGGCGTTATGTTGTACATCAGTGTACCATAAGTGTACCATCAGTGTACCACAGTGTACCATCAAGTGTTTTTTTTTTTTTTTTTTTTTTCTACCATAAGGTACCAATCAGTGTTACCATCAGGCACCATAGTGTACCCATCAGTGCACCATCAGTGCACCATCAGTGCACAATCAGTGCAACCTGCAGTGCACCATCAAGTTTGCACCAGCGTGCACATCAGTGTACCATAGTGTACCATCAGTGTACCATCAGTGTACCATCAGTGTACCATCAGTGTACCATCAGTGTACCATCAGTGTACCATCAGTGTACCATCAGTGTACCATCAGTGTACCATCAGTGTACCATAAGTGTACCATCAGTGTACCATCAGTGCACCATCAGTGTACCATCAGTGCACCATCAGTGCACCATCAGTGCACCATCAGTGCACCATCAGTGCACCATCAGTGCACCATCAGTGCACCATCAGTGTACCATCAGTGCACCATCAGTGCACCATCAGTGCACCATCAGTGCACCATCAGTGCACCATCAGTGCACCATCAGTGCACCATCAGTGCACCATCAGTGCACCATCAGTGCACCATCAGTGCACCATCAGTGCACAATTCAGATGCCACCATCAGTGCCACCATCAGTGCACCATCAGTGCACCATCAGTGCACCATCAGTGCACCATAAGTGATCACCAGCAGGCACCATCAGTGCCATCAGTGCACCATAAGTGCACCATCAGTGCACCATCAGTGCACCATCAGATGCACCATCAGTTGCACATCAGTGCACCATCCAGTGCACCATCAGTGCACATCAGTGCCACATCGTGCACATCAGTGCCACCTCAGTGCACTCAGTGCACCATCAGGGCACCATCAGTGCACCCCATCAGTGCAACCATAAGTGCACATCAGTTGCCAATCAGTGCACCATCAGTGCACCATCAGTGAACCATCAGTGCACCATATCAGTGCACCATCAGTGCACCATCAGTGTACCATCAGTGCACCATCAGTGCACCATCAGTGCACCATCAGTGCACCATCAGTGCACCATCAGTGCACCATCAGTGCACCATCAGTGCACCATCAGTGCACCATCAGTGCACCATCAGTGCACCATCAGTGCACCATCAGTGCACCATCAGTGCACCATCAGTGCACCGTCAATGCACCGTCAATGCACCGTCAATGCGCCGTCAATGCGCCATCAATGCGCCATCAATGCGCCATCAATGCGCCATCAATGCGCCATCAATGCGCCATCAATGCGCCATCAATGCGCCATCAATGCGCCATCAATGCGCCATCAATGCGCCATCAATGCGCCATCAATGCGCCATCAATGCGCCATCAATGCACCATCAATGCACCATCAATGCACCATCAATGCACCATCAATGCACCATCAATGCACCATCAATGCACCATCAATGCACCATCAATGCACCATCAATGCACCATCAATGCACCATCAATGCACCATCAATGTACCATCAATGTACCATCAATGTACCATCAATGTACCATCAATGTACCATCAATGTACCATCAATGTACCATCTATATGACGGATCCATCATGGGTCATCCCAACAAATCCCCGTCAGTTGTGAAGTTCCTCCTGGATTGGTGCTAAGCTAAGGCTTACGAGGCTCAACACCTACAAAGGCGAGAACTGGGGCTTGACACTGAAGTAGTGCAGTTTCCAAGGTCAGTTTCCAAGAACAACGGCGTTTTTTCATGTTTTTTTCATAGTTCCTTAAGGTTTTTCATTTGATCATTTGGCTGATAATGGGAGGACATTTCTCACTCATGGAGTTCTTAAGTTCAGTGATTGATGGGGTTTCACCACCAGCTTTTTTCAGAAACCGCAAGCGGTTCCAGGTGTGGACCCCGACGTGTCGAGGTGCGGTGTTTGCAAAAAGAAACCACTGGGTCTCTTGGACAAACCATGGGAAACGCATATAATTAGATGATATATTAGATCAATGTTTGGATGATCTTATATAGATGTATTATGATGTATGTGCAGGGTTGACTAGTCTATGATGTTGTATGCCTACAATGGCCTACGACATGAATATATTCTCCTTCCGTTTGTTTATGCACATACGGTACACGTATGGATCCATTCGACTTTGTGGAACATTCACATGACACTGAAGCAGTGGTGCAAGTTTGCTGGGTCAAGACACGTATTTATCCCCATGCATCCCCTATTCTACATCATATCAACCTTGATCGTAGGTCAAACTTTTTTCGGGGCACAGATGATTATAGTATATTATAGTTATGATATGTTATGATTGTATACACACCATTTTCTCAACTGTCATCCCACAACTTCTTCCAAGCGCGCCAGGGGCGCGCAGCTGATGGATGCGGGATTCATCAACTTCCTCCCAGGAACCCATGTCGAGGTCAACATCTCGATGGGTTACAAGGATGAATCGTCGTGGCCCCAGAGGACTCAGATGGCCAACCTGGGTACCCTCTGGTTATGTCAACAGTTTGCTATTGAAAATGGCCATAGAAATAGTTGATTTACCCATGAAAAATGGTGATTTTCCATAGTTATGTAAACGTTTACCAGAGGGTAACCTGGCTTAACCGTTAGGGACCTGGAAAAGATATAATTAATCTGGTTGGTGACTGGAACCATGGAATTTTGAATGACTTTCCCATCATATTGGGAATGTCATCATCCCAACTGACTAATATTTTTCAGAGGTGTATATATATATATATATATGTCAACCTGGGATGGGTACAAAAGACTTGAAATCTGTGACAGTTTTAGTCTTTACAGATCTTTTTGTTGGTAAATTTATATATATATATAATGGCAAGTGTTTATTTAAAAACAATACCCCAAACATCACATTTTTGTTGCATGGTAATAAAGATCGGCCAAATTGTGATCGTGGCGTACAGCGTTTTGTGGATCCGAAATGCTTGGTACAAAAAGGATCAAATCGCGGGTCGTCGATGGGATCCCATCCACTTAATCTAATGATGATATAATGGTGAATAATGGTTAATAATGGTGTTTAATAATGGTTAATGATGTTTAATGATGGTTATACAATGGTTAATAATGGTGAATATCTGGTTGGTGGTGACTGGAACCATGGAATTTTGAATGACTTCCCATCGGGAATGGAATGTCATCATCCCAAGTGACGAACTCACTCCATCATTTTTCAGAGGGGTGTTGGTATACCACCAACCAGTAATTCATGGTAATTCCCATTGAAATGATGGTCATGTTATGGCGCTACCTGCGATGGACCTGGGATGGCCGGAGCAGAGGCTTTACTGCGTCGCCCCACTGCAACTTGGACCTCTGCCTTTAGTGACCTACGACTTTTGGCTGATTGGAAAAGACTGCTGTCAGGCGGGCCTTTGTGGCTAAGTGCTGAGTTGAGACCACGATCCAGTTTTGGTCTTGTTGCTGTCAGGTTACTTCAGGTTACTTTGTTGAAGATCTTCTCACATTGAGATGGTTTCATTCCCAGTGTTGTTGCTAGTCTCCCACAAGTTTTCCTCCTCAAATCATATTATTCTGCTGTCAGGACTTGTTAGCTTTGTCCAAAGATGGGCATGTTCCCAAGTCCCTCGAAAATGCTTCATAGATTTCGTACTAGAAATGGATGGAAATTGGATAATCCGAGATAATCCCATCTCCCATTCTAAATATATCAAATACCCTCTAGAAACTATGGTTTTTGTATGTTTTTGTTGGATGATGGGATTACCCAGATGATATCCATCTTTCAACATCCTTAAGATGGCTTCCCATCGCACGCAGGCCAGTAAACGTGGCTTCTCCTGTGGATCTGCCAAGCATCTTCATTCCAGTGGCATGATCGCACGCAGGCGCCCCTCAGGATCCAGTGGAGTCAGAAAGATGTCTTGTACCATCTCAGCACTTTTTTTTAGCTGATCCTCCTTCATTTGGGTGTGTCTGAAAATAGTGTACCCCTAAACCCAATGGTTTTGCTGATCATTATCCCTATTAAACGGCTATAATTGGGAATATACCCTATTTTCAGACAAACCCATTTCAATAGCCGCTATGGCAGCTATGGGATTTTGAAAGAGACCCGACTCGAAGGGTCGAAGACCTGGCCAGGGTCTTGGCTGATGATTTGGACTACTACAAGTTGGCTGTACGACAGGCGATGGATTCTCGACGTTTTGCCACGGCAACTTCCAAAATCTGGGCTATTCTTCCCAAATTCTTCTGTTGTTTTTCACAGGAAATGTTGGCGCAACCTCCAAGACGCATGACATTGTTGGTGAAATGGAAAATGATGATATGACATGATATGATCATGTTTTTGCATCCCGTCGCCGACAGGCCGTTATTTTTTCGGCTTCCCAGTGAATTTTGGTACCCAAAATTTAATGCAAAAGTTTAGCTTTTTTTGAAGAAAGCCATATCATATTGTTGATCAGGACAGCAATATTGCTCGTTAGATAGATAGATAGATAGATAATTATACATGCTTATCAATATCTCCAATACAATCAGTAGTATCCAACGATGTTCCACCAGGCTGAAGCTGCCTATGGCATCATGGCAGCGCATCCCTTGTTCTTCGAACAAGCCAAGGTCGATGAGGCTGGCAGATGGGATCTATATCCCCAGCCTTTGTTTAACCATGAAATATAGAGATGACAATGGGGACATTAGCCATCATTAGCCCCCCCAAAAAAAGGGATTACAATGGGGAGATCATAGGGATATGTTCATAGTATGAATTTGAGAATAAATGATATGAAAATGTTGGATCTATAGTGAATTGTGCTACTGAAACAATTCATTGTTTGGGGAAACCAACTATTTGATGGGATGTGTTTTATATTATTAAATATAATTTAATATATTTATATATAGATTCTTATAGATTATATATATATGTATATATTATTGGGATATAATAATATCAACATAATGGGAATTTGATAGGTAATATAACTTGATATACTGGGTATATAAAGCCGACGTATACATATTATATATATATATACACATGATATTTGGCTGAATTATAATGCTTCACATGGTGACATCACTGGAATGATGGGAATTACACATGGGGAATCATCACCAAATAGCAGCAAGTTTCAGCTATTTTCAGGTTGGTAAAATATGGTGAAATATTACAATTCAGCTCTGCATGTTCCATGTCTCCAATATATTAAACCATTTCTCCAACACTAATCCCATCCCCTATGTGTAACACGCCCAGAAAGTGCGGTCCAAAAATGTGTATGTAAATCGCCTACTAACCCATGGTTTCTGGTGCTTACAATTAGGGGAAGGGATGCTAGGTTTTGATCCATATTCAGACATCATATAACTGATATTTTCCTAGGTTAACTGTTGGGTTGTTGGTGAAATAACTTAGCACAGCACAGGTGAAGTTGGCGACCAGGATGCGAATGGGTTTTGAATGGGTTTTGCATATCCCAAATGTGAAACAAATCGTTGGATTCTAGGGAGAATTCACCGAAAACCCAGACTGTCATATGAATTTTTGATGACAAAAACCATGGTTTCCCGTCGGTTTTCCCCGTAGAAAGCCATGAAAGATGCCTTGATGCAGGTCCCTGAAGAGCTGGTGAACCAAGCGCAACAAGCCTTACAGCACTATTTCTTAGGCTGGGAGGGCCTTGCTGGGCTAGAAATCTGCTTGATGGTTTGGTTGGAACATTTGCCCTCTGGTTATGACTAACATAGCCATGGAAAATCCCAACCATAAATGGAGGTTTATAGCTGGGAAAATCATCTATAGATGGGCCATTTTCCATGGCGAATTGTTAAATAACCAGAGGGTACTTGATCCCATATTAAAAAACCATAAAGAAGCCATGGAAACTGGGTAAACTATGGACTAATCATAATATATCATAATAAATCACTGGTTGGTGGTTTGGATCATGTTTTTTTTCCATTTCATATATGGAATGTCATCCTTCCCATTGACTTTCATATTTTTGAAGATGGTTATTGCACCACCAACCAGGAAATTGTTGGATGGATTTCTTGTCATCCAGCTATGTCTGCATAGGTTACATGAGCAAATCAGGGTAGCAAAATTCAGACACAGAATATGAATGATAACAGTCAATAGTCATAGTAGTTTTAGTCATAAAATGTCATAGATAGTGAAAATACGTAAAAATCATCCCCATTTTTTTTGTTCTACCACTTTTCGAGCCCTCGGTAGCATGCTTAGCATTCCCATATGTTGCTCTTATCCTCCATCCATTTTCGGGGAGCAACTGGTGGACCCGTTTTCCACTGGCTGATAGTTGACATAGCTATTGAAAATGGCCATAGAAAGTTCGCGGATTTAGTGGATTTAGCCATGAATAGCATGGTGATTTTCCAGTTCGTTACGTAAACGTGTACCAGAGGGTACTTATATACTCCACACTTCAAAGCTGTGAACAATTTCACCGACCAGCCCCCATTTCATCGCAGAGTGGCTATGGCTTCAGGATTCTGAAATGCTCCTTTTCTGCCAGATTTATATCCAGTGTAGATGATTGATTTGTGACGCTTCAAAAACAGCTATCCTTACTCTTTCTTCAAATAGATTTATACACACGGGGTTCACTGCAGGTCATGGGGCAAGAGGGGTACCCGTTGGGTACATCCAGTGGCCCACAGGATATTTGGGCTTTCAATTCCTCCTGGTGATTCTGGCCATCTTCTTCTACTTTCCACCTTCTGAGCGTCGTTGAGCGATGCATTGCATCAGCGCGACCTGCTGAAAAGACAACGGAGGCATGGGCTGTCTGGGCTGTCGGTGAGTAGCTGTAGTTGACCTTGAACAAAATCTGTGGTTTGCAGCGTGAAATTCGAAATGCTCTCAGCTTCGACCATGAAATTTCAGGAATGTGCATCCCAACCATGGTTGCTGCTATAATCCGAGAATATGCTCTTCTGTCAAGTACGCCTTTTTGGCCATGATAACATTTGTGGATAGACTCACAAACCTAGTTCCAGCAACAATTCCACGTATTCAATGCAATAATGCATGTGTATGCATGTATTTGCGACTGCTGCGCAGTATAACTCTGACGATGATCTCAATTACCTACTACCTGTGTATATCCAACTGTCGATAATCCTTCCTTGCAAATGGTGAGCAGCGGCGTGGGGTTGAGAAGTTCAGCCATTTTAGGCCATATGCTTTTGGTTCATGTAGTTAGATTCCCATTTTTTGGGTGAACCCCCCAAGCGAAAAAAGCTGTCAGCTACGACATTCAGCCCTTAATTTTGAGCCCCTAAAAGCGGCATCAAAATCATCTAACAGAAGGAAAGACTCAGCAAGATAAGGTACGCAAAGAAAAGGTGCATTCAGGACATCTCACAGATCTCACAGTCAAACCTTGGAATGAACTTGGGAATCCTGGGCTAGGCTAAAGATTGGAACTATCTCTCTATGGGGATTATTGGGGATTTAGGTTTGGTGTTCATCGGCACAGAGCGTCACTGAGTGGCTTTCCTTGCTTACTGAGTGGCTCAATGCCCATTCAAAGATCGCATCAACATCACTGGTACCATGGGTCCTGAAAGGAGTTCAAGTGCTATGTAATGGCGAGGCCGCTTTCACCTTCATTTCATCGGCCTGCAGTTGTTTGTGAGGACACTGATCCAAAACCTGCGGATTCTCTCCAGATCTTAAATATTGTTTGGGTATCCAGCAGATTTCTCATCCGCGACTTTTCAGCGGCTTATGGTTTTAAATTGTGATACGGCAACAAGTGGAGTTGTGTAAACAGAATTTGTTTGGCTCACAACAAGTGAGCAGCCCGATTGCAAGTTTGGGGATTTGCGTGCCCACACCTGAGTCGACTGCATGTTTGTTCCAGCCAGTTTTAGATCTGTGGCCGGCGCCCATGATGCGTATCCATGACACAACCCTGCTGCGCATTGAAAATAGGCTGGGCCCCGAGTCCCCGGTGACTACCTACCGGCTGCTGCTGATTCCATGGGGGGGAAGACTCAACTGACAAATGTTGGTTTAACGACAATGCTACAGGCCGCCCTGTTTGTGACGAGCGTCATTTGTTGGACTTAATTGGCGATTAAACGGTTGGTTGAATTGAACGGCTAGTACTGTAAATGGGATAAGGTTGGATAATCATCTGTCTTCAAAGCCTGCATATGTGTGGCTTAGATTCTGGTTATAGGAAGAGTTTGGTCAACCTCTTGGTCGTCCCCAAGATTGCATCCCACGGAAGAGTGGCACTTCATAAATGGTACTCTACGGGAATATACAGAATGAACGCCATGTATCGAGATATAGCTGAAGCTACAAGCTATTGAGCTGTTGTTTGTCCAAACCCATGGAAATCCTGATGCAGAATGATAAACATCCGCACCTTTGTTGGTTAAGCACATTTTTGTATGCTTCTCTTTGTTCGTTTCCAACTGCAGTAACTGGTAGGGGCCAGTCATTGAAGTTAGTTGCAGCCTCAATGGCGAAGATTTAATGGCACATGTCTCATTCAAAGATGATTTCATTCTTTCTCTTTGGAGTTTCCAAGTCCCACCTTCCCTAGAATTGGTTTTAAGGAGAAAAAATGGGACAAAGCCATGCAAAGCATTACATTGGGTGTGTTTTTTGCTCTACAATAATTAGGTCAATATAGTGAATTCTCATTTCATGGTATTTTCATGCTTATTCTTCCCCTGTTGCATCCCTGGGATCGTCAAGACGCAGAAATGATCGGGGAGAAACGATGCTTCCGCATGAAAATGTTACTGGCCCACTGGCAGAAAAAGTGGCGAGAAGAACCAAGAATTGCAGAACTTCGAGAACCAAACCGCGACGCACTCCGCTGCTCCTCCGAGAGATCTTAGCGGTGTGATACCGAGTGGCTACAGACTTATTATTCTCTCACGGGGGTTGCGCCAGTCGCAGACTTGGTTTAATCGACAATTTACTGGAACTCCTCTGTGAATATGATGAACTATATAATACTATATATACCATATGTTCCCGTAGAACCTCCTCTCATCACACAAAAAATGAGGCTAACATTCCACCATTCATTGGTATAGCTTATCCAGCTTAGAATAACTTATAACAATCACATTCCCACATAATCTAACTTTTGCGGGTTGAACCAATCACCTATCCCAATGTTTATCAATCCTCAATTGAGGTACCTGCAATCTCCTGAAATATTTCAATCGAACCATCAATATCAAACGTCATTTGTATTGGCTCAACCCATTTGAATTCCCATCAAAAAAAAGTTCGCTAAACTGAAACTTAGCTCCCGATTCTTCTGGATGAACATCCCATTTTTTGTTGGTTGCCCATGGTGAAAATCCCAACAAAAATCCATCAACAGGCGACCTCAACGCGGTGTGCTCCTTCGGTCCGTTGGCCAACGCCTGGTACGGCTACAACCCTGTGGCTGCCGATGACTCCGTGCCTTGGATCATATTTAAGTGACAAAAACCATGGAAAACGATGAAAAATCACTGAAAATCATGATTTTTTAAGAGGTAAATCATGGAACAATTATTTTTTGGAAGGGGCGAATTTTCATGAATTTTCTATAGCTATGTAAAATTGCTGAAGGGTATATTGATGAGGGTGTGAACCAACAAAAATGTTGGTTTTTACCTCAGCCATCGCAAGTGGGTACCACAATACAAATCATGGAGGTTTGGCGGGCTAAGTCTCAGAAAATGTCATATCGACAAGAATTCTAGTGATTTGCCACTCAAACCGGAAAAATGATCCACATTTTGTAATGTTTGAACTCCAAACTTTATTTGTGTTTCACTTGTGAACCTCCCAAGTTGTCTGACACTCAACGGTCAGGCGAACGTCAGTCCGAGAAGCGAGGCGTGGCGTTGGGAATATCATCATTAGTTAACACAAAGCAATATAAACAATTATAAACATATCAACCCATGTATGTGGCATATATGGCATTCCCGGTTGGTGTCGTCATTATTGCATTTATTTACCCACTGTTTGAGATGATTGGTTTCCGGAGATGGTTTGCTGAATGGGGATGTAGGGAGCGACCCCCAACGAATGGCCAATGTCGCCATCAAAAAGGGACCATACTTATGTGAAAATTGTGAAATGTTTGGAGAGTCACAGATGTAAATCAACTATGAATGGAGAAATGTGGATGTAAACAACCAAGAGTACAAAGGAAAGTGAGAAGTCTTCGAAACAGGAACGGCAAACGCAACAGACTAAAATATCAGAAATTATCACTAGTTGATCAAAATCCCAATGAAACAGTCAGTATCTGCAGGATTTTGATGCGGGCGTTGACGGGCCGCTGCTATTGTTGCTTTGGGTAGAAATTGGGTAAGACCAAAAATGGCATGATTCTGCAAAAAAACAGCCAGCAATGGTGATTTATATATATATATATTATTGCTGTTATATTATATATAAGGTGTATGTCATATTCCCCATACCAGCAATATCCCATGGATTGTTAAATAACAACCAGAAAACATACCGACGAAGAAACCGACGGTTGGATTGTCAAAGGTCACGGTGGATTCTTCGAGGCGACGATCTTCTATGGATGAGGATGGTTTTTTGCGGCAAAGATGACCATAAAATGATTAAGTATTGGGTGCACCACATTAGAGCCTTCCCCCAATGAAAAACAACCCTGTTTTGGTACAGGATAAGAAATACGAGACCACACCGGCCCCACTGGTTTTTTCCTGAGGGGACAACATATATATCTGGTTGATGGTTTGGAACATGAATTTTATGACTTTCCATTCAGTTGGGAATGAAATAATCATCCCAACTGACGAATTCCATCATTTTTCAGAGGGGTGGCTCAACCACCAACCAGTTAAGCTCAAAAATGGTGGATGTTTTTGTTGAATTGATCTGAAAAAAGATGAAAAATGATTAAATGCTGGGAATTATAAATGGAATGATTTGTGAGGATTTATCATGATTTATCCCAACAACTATGGATGATGTTCGGGAAACAAATGCTGCGAATGGGATCTAACGAAGGGATATGCGCATGCTAGCGCGATTGGGATTAGACTAAGCACCCATGGCGATACAATTGGATGCAATGGGCATATCACCAAGGATTAGGGATGATGAAAGTGAGGTTACCATCTGGTTATTTAACATAGCCATGGAAAATCCCAACCATAAATGGAGGTTTATAGCTGGGAAAATCATCTAGAAATGGGCCATTTTCCATGGCGAACTGTTAAATAACCAGAGGGTAATTCCGATTGAAATGGGAGGTTCCCCCGTTCTTGGACAAACGCTATGGCGATGGCGTCTGGTGGCTACTCTTGTTGATTTCATTGTCGCCAAACGTTGGAAACCGACCACGTAATAAGGGCACTTAGCAACAAAGCGGCTAGGAATCAGCATCACTATGTGAGTGAACCTTAAAATGATGGAGTTTACCCTCTGGTAAACGTTTACATAACTATGGAAAATCACTATATTTAATGGGTAAATCCACTATAAATATCTATAAATGGTCATTTTCAATAGCTATTTTGACATAACCAGAGGGTACTATTTTTGTGACCCAGACATGCCCTAATTCCGTACGATAAGTCAAAGTTGGCGCCGACTTCAGCCACGGTGAAGAGACAGTCGGTGTATCATTGCTGCCAGTGGCTTGTTTCAGTTTGATTACCCTCTGGTAAACTAACAGTTTGCTATTGAAAATGGCCATTTATAGTGGATTGAATTCTGGTCAATAATCAGGAATGACATGAAATTCTGGAATAATGATGGAATAATGATTGTCATTGATAATTTCAATTCCTAATTGTCATGGGTCTTATTTTGGTGTGCATGAAATCGCATCATTCCCCATCACGTTACGTGGGCAATCTCCAATTTCATGGCCATGTGGAGTGTTTTTCTCCACCATTTCACCATTTCTCCCGAGCCGATGCAAAAAAGAATAAATATATCCCATGATCATCCCAATATCCTATGTTTGAAACAAAATAAAATCGGTTTAGTTCTGTTAGTATCCCTATTATGGGGATACTACACAAAAATTACTATAATCTGGCAATAATCCCTAGTAACAGAACTAACCGATTTTCATCCCAATTATCAAAAACTCCTGGCAATAATTACATCCCATCTGTTTTGTCCCATCTGTCTGGGTAAATTATAACGACCTCACTGTTCTCCCTCACTGGAAATCATACTTAATAAGCGAAATCATCCCCAAATGGCCCAACAATTCAGGTTAGTGAAATATGTTCAAATTTACCCAGATCTGTTCTCCCTATCCCAGGAGTTGCTGCCCTTTCCGCAGACCAGGGCACCCTGCTTCCCCAAGCGTCTCCAGACGGATCCCTGTGGCGCCAGCGTTTCTGGACTCGGACCGATGGTGAAGGGTTGGCCAACCAGAGCATTTGAAAAACCATCGTTTCTATGGCGCTGAATTCTAGAAATCGGCCATGAAAAATGGTGAAAAATTATGGAATAGAAGTTAGTGGTGATGATGATATGATGATATTGTAAACATAACAAAACAACAATTGGTGACTTTAAAGGTTCTTTATGATGTTCACAATGTTAAAGGGAATTAAAATGTTCCCAACTGAATATAATTGTGTTTTCATGATATTTCGAGAGGAATACCGTGGAGATATACGCCAACCAGCTTTGGGGATATCGGGGGTGGAAAATCGAGCGTTTAGGAAAAAAATGGCTGAAAATAGAGGACATGCCAGGAACTGGGTAGCCAATTTCTGTGGGTGATATGAGGTTTATTAAGCTTTGCTTGAAGTCGCCATTGATGATAGAGCTCCAAAAGTTGGAAAATGTGTTTTGTCTTTGGAAGGTGATGATCCTAGTGACCAGCTTTCCAGATGTCGGTTTCGCTGCTTTCGCCGCCAGGACGTTTCAAGCGGGAACCCGCCCTGGTTAGTGGCTTTCTCACGTCCTTTTGCGAAGCTTGGCAATAGTGATTGCGCAGAAAATGCGGGGATGTCCTGCAGATCTTCGTGCCTAGCCTGGCCTAAGAATGGGCACCTGATGATGTGATGATCTCCCGAGTTTGTGTTGTCACAGAAGGTCAAAATCCGATGCTCTGAAAAATGGACGCGTTTTTTGAATGGCCCCAAGATTGGAAATCTAACATCAAACCTGAATAATGAAGCCTTATTGATATTGATAATACGTTAAACATGGTTCTTTCTTTCTAGCAACTGTATGCAAATGAAGGGCCGCCAGGCGGTTGGAGGAGACTTTATTTTTTGTCCTATCCTCCCTTGCACCCAGGATGGATAGTGAAATTCAACTATTTAGGACCACACAAAGTGTTGGCTGTACCCTCAGTTCTATCTTACTTTTGGATGCGGGGTAGATGTTACACATCAACGGAAATGCGGGAATTTCACTGAATAGCCAAGTAGTTCCTTTCATCATTTGCTAACAACTGAAAACGGGTTTAGGATGGTTTAGGTATAGTTCTGGCTGTTTGAAGGTCATAGGAGACGTTATTAAATTATTAAATGATTTGAGTAAAGGTCACATTCGATTCCTCTGTCATGGATGCGTTGTCTCAGGGAAATGTCAACTGAAAGAACGCGATTTTCTTCCCAAGTCCAAGTCTTAAGAATCACAAGTGGATAAACCATGATAAACCTTACTTAAATGCGGTGTATACTTTCTTGCCAATTTGATGGAAATACAGGTACCCTCTGGTAAACGTTAACAAAAAACTATGGGAAATCACCATGTTTAATGGGAAAACTCACGATTTCTATGGCCATTTGGTATGTACAAACCAGCTCAAAAAGTTTGGTGATGAAAATGCTGACACCCAGGAAATGGTGTGGCCGAAGTTGTCAGGCGGCTTCGGCACCTAGTTCTTTCTTGGAGTACCTGGAGTGAAAATGGGATGGTTTAATGTGGTTTAATGTTGAGAATGACCGCGAATGGCCATCAAAATGCATTAAACCACATTAAACCATCATGTGTTTCTGATCTTCCTCGACCAACATCTGCAGTTGTTGGGTTCGCGGGGTCTCAAAATCTGACCGCATTTGTCAGAGTTGAGAGCTGTAAGGAAAGTTGTGTGAAAGTAAACGTAAGCTGATAGAAGCTGCCGAAAAGCTAATGACATTGTTAGAAAGTGACGCCCAATTTCGACTGACTCTGCAAGTTTTCATTGCCTAAATCACTTTCAAACAGGATAACCAGGGAAATATATGGCAACAGGATGAAATACGATGGAGTTTCATGGAGTTTTGCAGCATGTGCTTTGCAGTGCCATGTTGGTCCCGTATGCCTCACAAAAACACAAGTTTTCCACCGGAGCATGTCCTCTGGCAGCTCCATAGCTGGAAAATCCCTGAGCTACAGTTGGGAGGTTTAGCTGGGAAGTTCATCTACTGGTTGGTGGCTTGGAACATGTTTTATTTTCCATTTCATATATGGGATGTCATCCTTCCCATTGACGAACTCCATTATTTTTCAAGATGGTGAAATAGCACCACCAACCAGTAAATGATGAATATATCTTGTTTTTTTGTGGCGATGTATAACAGCCACCAAACTACCCCATATCGGCGGAGCATTAGTTTGACGGCAATGAAGGTCGCTGGGATGATCGAATTCATATCCAGGGTGCTGTTCATTATTCCACCCTTGGCCATTCATACTCTTTTTCATCATGGATCCACCGTTGTTCGGAAAATCCCCGAGGTGTCCAACTTGAAAAAGCACGACTGGGATAGTCTGTGGGAATGGCTCAACACTATATACGTGTACCATCTTGTACCATTATATGCCCCCAAAAAAACAAACCCTCGCGCCATCAGCCAGGCGCAGTGCAAAAGCTCATGGACGAACGTGTCCAAGAGGCGCTCCTGTCTGAAAAATGATTAAAGCAGCTTTTAACCTTGGTCTATGATTCTTGAGGGGTACTCCCCCAAACAGTCATAATACGGTACTTCTATGGTGCCCCCCAATTAAACAGCCGTTTGTGGTTTGGTGCGGTTGACATTATTAACAATGGATCAAGCGAAAACTGGTGAGTTGGGCCCCTGGGAGAAAAATGAATCTAAGCAGCAATGAGACAGAACATATATATAAACTAGCATGAACAATAGATATGTCGTTGAAATTCAGTGTTTAACCAAGCCACATGCTGACATTATTAAGTGGATAAACCAACTGGTGATAGGGGTGCCCTCAAATTGATTGGTGATTTTGCATTTGGAGACAAACTTTAATTTCTGGCAGGAATGGGTCGTTTGGACCTGCCAGTGTCTGTGCTTGTCGCGGACAATATCGCCATTTTATGTTAGTTTGTCGAAAAACACACCTCCCACTCAAAGTAGTTCCACCTACAGGCCTGGCGGCTTGCCGTGACATCCTTTTTTTTGAAAATCACATAAGATCGCATAGATCCCTTTCACATGCCATAAACTTCTCCAGTCGCTCCAGGCTCTCAAGGTTGCCATTTTGAAGCTTCCAGAGTCCATGCGAGGTACGGGATTTTTGGAAACTTGTGGGATTTCACATGATTTCACTTTTCACCAAACATGTGGACTTCCGCAAGCAATTTATTGCATTGAAATTCAACAAAAATTCGTTGAAAAGTTTGGGAAACAATGGCCCAATGGCAGTTGAACGATCAAAACTTGAGTCTCATCGAATCGACTTTCCAAACAGCCAGCATCCCCATCGGACCAGTATCCAATCGACTTGCTGTTTGGGACATATATCATGGTTAGGATTCAGGGAAATCATCCCCTTTTATGGCCCAACAATTCAGGTTAGTGAAATATGTTCTAAAATTTACCCAGATATATGTCCAATTAGTGTCCACTGTTCATTGGTTCCATCCCCAGCTGTGAAAATGTGTTGTGTTTGGTGTTGCTGGGTGGCAAAATAGTCCTTGGTTTTCACCAAGGTTTTCTGCCCGGCCGTTGGTCAAAGTCAAAGTTGTGTTTTTCTTGATACTTATCAGCACATAATATATATATATAATATTATATTATATATATATATAATATAAAAATATATATATAATTAATATAATATATATAACATATATATATAATATATATATATATAATATATTATATAATATATATATATAATATATTGGTTTCAAAACCAGACTGCCAGACATGTTTACTGTATCTTTTTCTAGTCAAAGTTCTCCTTCGTGTGCGTCTTTCTGCCATACTTTCCCGCTAGAGTCATCCTGATGAAGTATTGAATCTCATCATTTTGAGTCCCATATTTGGGTGACTATGAAATGGTTTATTTCATATTCGCAACGGGTTTTTTTTTCCATGGTGCGAATGTTGTCGAGGTGAAGTGCACTACAACATCAGCTTCGGCGTGGGGGCTTCCCAGATCCCGAGAAAAATCGGTGTCACCCACCGTGGTTTTTGTCATGGTGTCTATCCATGGAAGGGAGAAACAAATGGCTGGTTGGTGGTTTGGAACATGAATTTTATGACTTCCCTAAGAGTTGGGATGTTTTTTTTCAATCTGACTTTCACTCCATCATTTTTCAGGGGGGGTGTTTTACCAAACCACATAAACAACCAACCAGATGGTGGTTTTCGATGATTTTTTTGGGGATCAAGGCATGGCACCATGGTCGGATGGGACCTTGGATCGCCAGGACTCTGCACCCATCATCAAGGATGTCTACAGTTGGCGGAAGCACCCGTCGCACGGCAGCAATGTCTACAGTTGGGGAAGCACCACAGTTGGATTAGACCATGTTTTCTGATTTATGGTCCTTTATGATCCTTAAACTGCTAGCAGTTTTGCTGCGATATATAAACCCATTCAACTGATATTCATTCCAAGCGAGCATGGTTGTATGCCAATCTATCTACTTGGAGAGCCCTTTGTTGCAGGTACATGGATTATTTGTGCATTTCTTCTCAGGTTCTGAATGTGTCCAATGCTGCTAATGATTTGGGTAGTCAAGCGGATGTCCATGTGTTAATTATTGTTCACAACTATGTTGTGCAGAATCTCGATTTTTATTTTCAATCAAGATATTATTTTTACGGATGTGTCAGTTTTTTAATGATCAAACAATCAAAATACAACTGGTTGGTGGTGTCAAACATTCTTTATGTTCCATAATATATGGGATAATCCTTCCCATTGACGAACTCGTATTTTTCAAGATGGTTATTGCACCACCAACCAGACAATCAAGAGACTCGCAGAGTCGCAGTCTCATGTTGAAGTCTTTGGGAGAGGCACGTTGCACTGCTCAGCTGCCACATAAATCCTCAGAACATTCACCTTCTCCGATCGTTGTCACCTTGTTGGAAAAACCTGTGTTTGCTCATTGCCCGCCCTTGGCATCTCCATGTTGCCCCAAGATTTTCTTATATTTTCTTAATCATAATGGTTAATAATCTATATATTATATAGTATAATATGATTATAATGCTGTCCCCATTTTGGTTATTTTCTCAGGTGCGTGAAGGATGGCATCGAGGTCTGCGGCAAGATGCATTGGGATGCCAAGGTCAGGGGAAAATGACAGCCGAAACGTGGGATACCCGGCCTGGTAAACATTCACAGTTTGCGAACTTGAAAATGGCCATAGAAATAGTTGATTTACCCATGAAAAATTGTGATTTGCCATAGTTATGTAAACGTTTACCAGGCCGGGTATTCATGATACTGTCTGGGTAAATTATAACGACCTCACTGTTCTCCCGAGCCCTGGAATCATGGTTTTTATAGGGAAATCATCCCAAAATGGCCCAACAATTCAGGTTAGTCAAAGATGTTCAAATTTACCCAGAGTGGAAGATGATTTTGCTCGTAGAGCAATCCATGGAAAAAACAGTGTTTCTTCTAGGAATCCCCCCTTGACCGTTACCAACTGGTGCAGGATTTGCCATGAACATGTGGCTAATGAATATCAGACTTCACTTTTTTTTGGAGAAACCCACCATTTTCTGGGGACATTTTCTGTGAATAGGGTTATTTTTTACGGGGATCAGCACCACAATATATGAATTTATATCATGGGGATGTACCTGGATACAACAGGTATATAACCAACATAATATAATATATGATATATGGGTTTGGTTGAAATTGGAAAAGACCCGGAAGATTGCCATTTTCAGTGTGGGATTGTAAGAGGCGTTAAAACCATCGAAATTGAGAGCACGCTAATTTCAAACAAGACAAAAAAGGGACACCAATGATATGAAGCTATGAACGAAGGAGATTCGAATAGACTTGGATCTAGATGGATGGTGCCAACTTAAAAACTATCTATATTTGGATCCTTGGTTCATCAGGAATTGGTAATTTCGGAATCGGGATATGCAGTACAGGGATGCAACCAACAGGGTATCTAAGCTGGGCGATAAGAATTTAGGAGATGACATGAGATGACACATGGGCAGCTCCCATAAGAATTGTTTGTTGATATCAGAAGACATCCGAATTTTGGCCAGGGTTTACTCTTGGGCGAACAGAATCTTTCACCCCATCCCATGATTCATCCCAGATAACTGAGATAACCCCATCCCCAAAAGAAATTCTTGGTTATACATATCCCATTCAATACAATTACTGGTTGGTGGGTTCAAACATGAATGGATTATTTTCCACTTCATATATGGGATGTCATCCGGAACCCATTGACTCATATTTTTCAAGATGGTGAAATAGCACCACCAACCAGGTGAAATACCTATAGAAACTGCTTGGTTCACCCAGGTAGACATGCAGTTGGCCATTGGTCCTCTAAACTTTGGCATCGATCGAATTCTCATCGATGGTGCGGGGGTCCAGGATGGCCAGGTGCGTGTCATGCGTTGCTTGGAGTCAGGATAGAAATCATCAACAACCATTGGACCAGTTCGACCATTGGAAAAAAAATGCCATCAATTGCCCATTGCTAGATTTAAGCCCTACACTTAGTTTTGGGATGTTTTGGGGGCTTAGATGAAATGAGCTAAAATCCAGATTGGATTCTGAATGAAAGTCAGTACACCAACCATAAGACACCACCTTGACTCATTGGGCACGATTTCTTGATAGAGTTGCAATATGTTGCAATGCATGGTTTGCTTCAGAGCTGGTGGATGGCATTTCTCTCGAAGATTGATTAAATTTATCCCCTAGTGATGTCCAACATGCCGCAAATGAAGCCCTGCTGAAATCATTTGGATCCATTGTGATCTATTCAGTTTTGTGACCGATTTGGAGGAATTTGATGTTGGAATTAGTGGAGCTGGATGGGATTAGTAGAAAGATGTCAAAGTAGCTTTCCGGCTCTGCCAGCTGTATCCAGCTGTTGGAATCGCTGTCCTGGTCCATCCCTGTAGAGAAAGTCTCCAAGTCCATGCGATCGGACGCGGTGAATTTGTGTTTTTGGCGATTCAAGTCCAGATGATATCCAATGTGGTCCAATATTGCCATGTGACCATTTTCTAACTGTCGAGGCGTGGGCTGCATCATCTTTCGGCCGCTCATGGACCAGGCCAAGGATCCCGGCGTAGTAAACCCAATGCCTGTCCCAATGACTTACCATTTTTATGGATAGGATTCCAACAATCCCCCAAATGGTAGTTATTTATTGGTTTTACCCTCTGGTTATTTAACAGTTTGCCATGGAAAATCACAATTTTTAATAGGTAAACCATCTATAAATAGGCCATCTATACCATGGCTATGTTAAATAACCAGAGGGTAACGGTTTCTCACATTGGGGGGTCAATAACCCATGGATTTCCATGATGGCCTATCGAGTTTCTCCATCTGTAAAGTCAGATTTCCAGAGTTTCTTCTTAAAAAATCCGTTCAAAAAATAAGAAATCCAAGAATCTTCAAGAAACCCAAAAACTCACGGTTTCTTAGACATTCTAAGATAAAACTCTAGCCCTTTGCCACCGAATTCAACGGCTAAGGCCCCCATCCTGGGTGGTTTCCACCTCTTCTACTGCAGCCCTCCGAAGCTGCGCGTGGGGTTGACGGGTTTGGGCGGCATCACCAGGCAGGGAACCGTCATGGGGACGAACAGTTCCGAACAGTTCCTATGTGGATTTCTTCAATCACAAGTAAATCGATCATAAAACCCATGTTTGATGGTTTGCACCCATCAAAATGGAAAATTCAGGGTTTGTGGATCCTATTGTTTTACAATAAACATTGCTTTACTACCAATCATATCTGCGTTGGAAAATGTCGTCCCGAACTGTGTCAGGTGGGCTGCCGTGGATGACAAGGTGGATGTTGTTGCTGTTTTTGCAGCCTATGAAAATGATGATTTGATAATATTTGATAATTTACCCAAACTATAATATGGTATACTATTAATATCCATTGAATCCCATATATCTGGGTAAATTTGAACATCTTTCACTAACCTGAATTGTTGGGCCATTTTGGGATGATTTCCCGACAAAAAAAACCATGGATTCCAGGGCTTGGGAGAACAGTTAACAGGCTTCGGTGGTGATGATTGCTTTACCCAGACAGTATCATGAATACCCTCTGGTAAACGTTTACATAACTATGGCAAATCACAATTTTTAATGGGTAAATCCATTATAAACGTTTACATAGCTATGGAAAGATCCACCATTTCATAGCTGGGTAAATCCACGAACTTTCGACTGGGCCATGTTCAAGTTCGCAAACTGTGAATGTTTACCAGGCCGGGTAAGATTGGGTGCGCATAGCGTATATCTCATTTTCGCACAAACCGTCACACACCCATGTGTTCATTTTTGTGATGGAAAAGAGTCAAAGTTGTGAACAGTTGTCTCATCTATTCAATTGTTTGAAAGTCTCGGTTGGATCATAGATATCATAGTCAAGGGTGTTCACGTGTTCACAATGTGAATACTGCCATCCTGCGAGATTTTTCAGACTTGGGTATGGTTTCTAGCACTCACCATAAACATGTGTTTACGTGTTGTTTACTGCCCAAAAGACCCAAGCCTCACATGCCTCACTTTTTAGATAGATGACTCTCATGACTCCCAAGGTCAGCGAAATCATGGCAGAAGCCTTCAAGATGGTCCCTCGAACTGAACAATCAACTATTGTGTAATGTCAGGGATGAACCAAAAAAAAACCTGGTATTACACAATAGGGGACCATCCCTGAACATAACTCGGGGATATAAAAAAGGTACCTATTGTGTAATAACATGATTGTTTCTTGATCTGAGTACCTTGATATCCCCTAGTTCATGAACTTACGCAAGTGGTTACATCACAATGTCACAATGTTTGTTGGCTGTATATATATATATGTATATATATATATATGTATATATATATACATGTATATACACCTATTTGTGTCTAGTATATACATTGTACATATTGTATGATTATATATAACATGTTTAACACCTAACTATAAGTGTTTTTCTGTATAATCCTAATTTTGTTAATACATATCATTTCCGGTGAGATTTTTTCATAGGTGAAATCTGCAGGCCGACTGGTTTTGTCCATGTGGATGAATATGAAATGAGAAATAGAAAATACAAAATAAGTGGTAATTGTCCATGAATTGACCCTAAAATGGTAATTAAACAATACAAAGTTATTGCTGATCCAATGTTTGATGCTTTATAACGTTGCCAGTTATCCCCAGTGTTCATGCTTTACCTCCATCTTCTGTTTCCCACAAGGTAATGGTCTTGCCTCAACGCATGACACAACGTTGCTGGGCCGTCATGGCTCTGGGGCTGCGGGTTGACCATGCAGAGGATCGCTCGTGTCACTCATGTCCAGATTAGGAAAATTCCGAATGCGCCTGGACAGGTAAATCTAGTTTCGCATATTTGGGCAAAACTATCCCAAGTAAACCATGTTTTTTCAAGGAAAAATCGGTTGCAAATTCACGGCTGCCTCAACCGTTCAAGATCTTTCAAGGTGGATGAATCAGCTGGATCTTGGCAGCTTTTTACGTGTGAGGCTTTGCCAACACCAAAATCGAAGATATGCCGGACTTCCGCTGCCCACCGCCTGTGGGCGTGCTACAGGTGAAGGTGCGGGCGACCGGAGTCCACAACAGAACTGCTGGTAACATCTGGTGACCCAAAAGGTAGATGTTTTCCATGATTTACCTCATCATCCCATATATTTCTGGTGTTTCGGGGTACAAACCAGAATATTTGCTACTGTTATTTCCATGTTTGCTCCATACAACTTCTGCTATAGTTCTTTCTATGTTTCTTGCATGAATCTCATGTTTTGACCATTAGACAATTAGACCTCCATAATTTTGCTGATAATCTAAACAATCGATAATATGAGTGTGTGAATATTTAACACCACTATTAGTTGATATGTGATTTCTGATGATTTGCCATGGTGCTATAGGTCCTCGGTGCCCGAAATCTGCCGGGCGTAGACTTGGGCTTTGGCGGACGTACCAGCGACCCGCAGCTTGGAAAATCCATGGCGACCCGGGGTTGAATCAAAAAAGTTGGATTTAGTGAGATTTAGTTGGATGCAAAGAGATTGTCTAGGGATTTCATAGGGATGTAATGGGCATTTAATGAGGATATTATATAATTATATATGATATGGAGATTTTCTACTGGGATAGTTTGTTGTGGTTTCTTTCGGATTTAATGGGATATATAATCAAGAGTCTGATAGATATTGATGGTGATTTCATGGTGATTTTAGTGAGGTTCTAATGGGATATATTGAGATTTTACTTGGATCTAATGGGATACACAATCAACAATCTGATATGGGTTCGTCTGAAAATGGTTGGTATACCCATAAAATGGCATGGTGAAAAATGATGAAGAATTAGGAGATTAAGGCCTACCCTATTTTCAGACACACCCATATAGGATGTGGTTGTTCAATGTTCTTCACATACACATACATTAATACCAATGTGTATGTAAGCATATATATATATATATACATTATATCACTTGCTTTGATACAACTTTTGATATGTCCCTAACCATTGGTTTGAACAGCCCTGGTAGGGGCAATGTTCAACTCATAGAGAAAGGGCTGGTCTCAGATGGGAGAAGACACCTTTGTTCGGTGTGCATTCTGGCAAGGCACAAACGAGGTGTGCCAAACGTTAAATTAATGAAGTACAGTATATTTTGTTTGTTTGCAATCAGCACAAAACCCTTGATTGCCATGGGAATAAACTTCGTTTTTGGTGGTCAAATAAGATACCATTTGCTGGTCAAATTCCGTTTTAGTATATGTTAATTCTCTCAAATTCAATAATTATGCCATGCATTGCAGTTTTTCCCTGTGGAAGTCATCCAAATGTTGATTTAGAAATCCATATTAATCAATATAATTTCCCCAGTGTTGATTGTTGAACTCCGCATGTACAGACCCTTCAGTCACCCATGTTATGTTTGGTCATCGGTTTTGTACTCCCAAACATATTATCATTATTGTTCCATTGTATATCCCCATAGAATAGTTGGTTTTATACCTCCTTTGTTGGTTCCCCATAAAATTCTTGATATTCCAAGTCTTAGCCACATTGAAGTTACAAATCCCCATCAAATCCCCATAGTGTTGCCCCAAAAAATCCCACAGAATGTTGCCCCAAAAAAAACGCCGAGGTATTGCACTGTGACTGTGGGAGGTCGCACCCTTCGGACCTCTTCATGTTCCAGGTGCCGCACGTGGTTTCCACACACCATGGGCCTTGGGGGTATCATTGAAGGTTTCCTACGCCATGGTACCCCAAATGGATGGTTTATTATCTATGGAAATCCTATGACTGCAAAATATGAATGAATTGGGGGGTACTACAATTTTAGGAAACCACATATAATGGGGATATCCCGAGATTTCTATAGAGTATAGTGACCAATAGCCAGAGTAAACTATCATCAGAAAAGCACTGAAAAAAACATATAGTATGATGTATGGATCTATTTGTCTACCATCTAATATAGGGATATATGGGTTTTTTTCCTGCTTGGTGCTTTCAAACATGACTGGATGAAATGTTCCATTTCATTGAAATGGGATGTCATCCCAACCCCATTGACGAAGTCATATTTTTCAGGGGCCACTGGGGATGGATCTGTCATCTACCATGCACGACGATTTTCATACCATTTTCGCTCACGAAAATTGGTTGTGTTACTGAAAATCAGGTATACATAGGTATACCAGGTAAATACCATGGTATACCCATGGTATACCCATGAAATAGCAGCCATGTTAAACTGGAAAATCTTGGAAAAACGAATGAAGAGGATATAAAAGGATGATAATTCGAATGGGATGGGGTACCACATTACTATGATTATGCACATTACTATTGGTAGGCCTTTTACAGTGTGAAAAAATCGTCAGGGGTTAATCATCAAAACTGCGGATGTTTCCAACAAAGATAACAATTTGCACCATCAAAAAGTGTAAACATGCGGACATTAAAACAGACAAACAAAAAAAATTAGCCGGCATCTTGACCACAAAGAATTTGAAATCAAAGAACATGGGAAACTGGGGACCGGATTGAAGTAATACATTCTGATACATTCTGATTCATGATATGTGGATGACTCGGGTATCGGTGATGAAATGTGATGAATCTGGAGCCATCTGGGGCCACTGGAGCCAGGACTCTGAAACCCGATTGGAGCCAGGATCCGGCCCTGGTCTTTCTGGTGTACCACGCCTCTCAGCTGACTTGATTGTGTCACAGGGGGTCCCTAAAATGGGTCCAAAAACTTCAGAAATGAGGTGTTGATGGTGTTGGTAGTGTGAGTTTAGTGTGAGTTGATGGACACCCAAAAATTGGGGGAGGTGACCATCCTTTTTGATTGAATATCCAACTTTGTCAGCAATAAATTCATGTTTCGTGGGGTCTGGTCATAGGTACATTCATGATATTCATGTACATTCTCATCATTGGTGAGTTTGTGCTTTATGGGTCGCTGGTCCATGGTGTCTTCGTCTTCGTGTCTTCCACTTACATCCCTGGTCCATGTTTGATCCCTTTCCAGACTTTCTTGGGGGGATGGGCAGCATGTGGCAACAGTTTCGTTACCCACCATGGATGGGAAGGTGAAAATTGAACCCAAATTCTTAGCCCTATTGATGATATTCATGCATATGTCATGATGTGATTGGATGGGATTGGATGTGATTGGATCTGCTGAATGTATAATGGTATGGTTTGATTTGGTATGCCCTGGTGTGATACTGGTCCATGACACCTCCATATCTTGAGACCAGGAACGTCAGGATTTGAAGCTTCAGATCTTCGATGAAAATGTCTTGAGACAGGACCGCTACTTCCGCTGTGGAATCGGAAACCAATGGGTTGGGTGGGACATGGGATAAAAGTTTAGATGTCACCATGCTGAATAAGCCATCTAACTAGGCATATACATTAGCACAGATATTCTCACACATATATATATATATGTGTATATATATATATATGTATATATATATATATATGTATATATATATATGTATATATATATATATATATATGTATGTATATGTATATATATGTGTGTGTGTGTGTGTGCGACATATGTATATGTATGTGTATGTATATACATTTATGTATATTATGTAAAGGTGGGATTTCCTTCATAAGATCTCATGAAAAATTGAAGTTTCATGGTGGTTTAATTAGATTTGATTGGGGGGTTATAGTTGAACAAATCCTGAGATGTATATAATGTAATACATATATATATTATTTTCATTATTATTATTATCATTATTGTTATTATTATTATTATCATTATTGTTATTATTATTATTATCATTATTGTTATTATTATTATTATCATTATTGTTATTATTATTATCATTATTATTATTATCATTATTATTATTATCATTGTTATTATCATTATTATTTCTTTTATTGTTATATATATATATACATATACTACAATAGACTATAAATTATCAAATAACCGCGGTAGGACATCCAACTGGCCGAGCTGCCGCGCCGCATCCGCAGCGTGGCGGACCTGGCGGCCAAATGTGGCGAGGCGCGCTGGTTGGAGCTGGCGACCAACGACTGCGGCCACGGCGGCCACGGCGAAGCTGAGGGAAGTGCCTCGCAAAAGGGGAAAAACTCCCAGGATTTGATGCAAAAAAATGGGAAATCATGGGAAATGGAGGCTGAATGGGATAGTTTTTTGTGGTTGCCAATTCATACGTGTATATATATATATATATTTATTTATTTATATTTATATGTATATACTGTATATATATATATAGCTCATATGCTATGGTGAGTTACATTGTGATTCTTACCCACTTACTATCTGGGGTGCACCCCCCAAGAATTGAATGGGGTTCAAATGGTTCAATAGGTTTACCCCAAAAAATGGTCTTGTAAAAAGTAGCGATCTAGTCAGCATGAAAAATGAAAATGGTGATGCTACCCACGATTTTTTTACGATTTGCGTAGCAAATCTCGGGGGAATTCATCGCCAGAAATGAAAAGGTTCAACAACCAACCAAAGGTTCAACCTATTAACCAATCAACAGGGGTATACCCTCTGGTAATAGCTGACATTGCTATTGAAAATGTCCATAGAAATAGTGGATTTACCCGTAAAAAATGGTGATGTTCCATAGTTATGTAAACGTTTACCAGAGGGTAGTGGCCGCCTTCACCATAAATGATTCTTATATTGGGTCAAGCTTGCCCAGATCGCGTTCAGGCTTGTGAATGATCTTTACTCGGAAATGTAAGTCTTACGAGAAAAGTTCCTGATTTGTGTTGCAATCATGTTCCGTAGTTCAAGCAGCAGAAATGGCAATAGAGCCAAAAAGATATACAGGTTTCCAGCCCACAAGAGTCACAAGAGTTTATATATATATATACATATAGTCAGTGTGACAAGGATGGAAGCCAGGGATGTCTGATTCGGAAAGAATGGGTATCTTTAGTGCGCAGAACCGACACAGCAATGGATGCCGTCTTCTGCGAGACCAATCACCAGGTTTTTTGTTGGCCTTGTCCATAGGGTGTGGCTCACTATGTGGATAGCCCCCCGGCAGAGTTTCCCTTGGACAAGTCCAATGAGACTAAGACTAACATTCCACCATTTTTCGGCATCATTTCCAGTTTGATTAGAATTGGTTTAAGGTTGGGTTCGGGTCAGTTTAGGGCCTACTTAGGGTTGGTTTAAGTTTCATTTTGAAGTAATTTACAGGATCACTGCGGATGTTTTAAATGCAACCGCAAAATCCGTGTGAAAGGAACCCGGGGAAGTCACCCGATCCCAAAAAGTCACCACGGATCATTTAAACGGGATGTTTCTGGATCTGCGTAAGGATCTTTCAAACCTTTGTTATGAGGGCGCAGGATCTCTCATTCTCGTGTCCTAAAGGCTCCATGCACAAAGTCACTTTTCTGCTGCTCTTTTTCTCTGCTTTGTCCGCTTCTCTGCATCTCTGTTTCTTTGCTTCTCTGCTTCTCTGGTTTTTTCTGTTTTTTGCTTCTCAAGACTAAATGTCCCCTAAGACCCCGAAGAATCCCTAAGAGACATTATGCATTAAAAAAAATAAACCTTAAATAAACACCAAACCAATCCGAAAAAAGAACCAAATCAACCCTAAGTGAACTGTAAACAAACCCTTAATCAATCGTGAACTAACCCCTAATAAAACTTAAATAGATCCTAAACCAACCCTAAATAGATTTTCCACCAAACCTAAATAAACCCTAAACCAACCCTAAAGAAATCCCAAACCAACCCTAAATGCACCCTAGTTGCAAAATACCATACAATATGCACAGTTCGAGCACCAAAATGTTGCAAATACGTTGGAAAATGAGAAGTTCGAACTCCAAAGTGTTGCAAAAACTGTTTCAATGGCAGGTTTCAGCTTCAAAATGTTGCAAAGGAAAACGAAGGAATACGGACAGAACAGGAGATCCAAAAGAAAATCCCAAAACGGCAACAAAATCCCCAAACAATTCCAGACCCTAAAAGAAATGGGTTTCATGGAATCCCCAACTTTCAATTCCTTAGAAAGATGGGACTCCAGAATTGGAAACCCAAATCGCCAGAAAGACATATTCCTACTGTATTGAACCAACACATTTTTTGCCCCCCCCGCATTTTGGGTGTCCCAGGTGCTGTACATCTGTGTGCCATTTTCTGCGACCTGGCACCCGACCAGTCCGTCGGGAAAGCCCCGCAAACCAGCGGCACGTGCGCCGGGGAGCCAGTGCCAGTTGAGCTGCCAGTTGAGCATGGGATGTGAAGAGCCGTGGCTGGGAATCTAACTATGGTTTATGGTAGATATAACTATCTGGTTGGTGGTTTGGAACATGAATTTGATTTTCCATTTCATATGGGATGTGATCCTTCCCATTGACTTTCATATTTTTCAAGATGGTTAAAGCCACCAACCAGCTATAGTTACTGTAATGGGGGTTATAAACCAACTTATAACTGGGGGGGCCCACATTGTACTTGATTTCACCAATCTGGGTAACCAAAAAGTTGAATCCGATTAATGTTGTTCTCAGCTGCTCAAATGGCTTCCCCGCTGCTTGAATCCTTTATTTTTGTGATGGCCATTCCCCCCCATACCCTAGCCATTAGAAAAATACAGACCGTCAAGACCATACAAACCCATATAAACCCATCTATTTCCATGTATTTTTTGACAAAAGAACTATATGATCAGAGGCTAAAGCATTATACACCACCAAGAAATAGCTTGATCCACCCCCATTGGTCTCGCTCAAACGCCTTGGATACGCCGTGGAGGTACGTCTTGGCGTTGAAGTTGTTCCACCTTCGCAAGGTGGCACCAGGTGATGCCCTGGGCACCAAAATTCGCCTGAGGCCTGGGCGGAAGCCAAGATTTATGGCATGATCTGTGTAAATTTCATCACGACCTCACTGTTCTCCCGAGCCCTGGAATCATGGTTAATAAGGGAAATCATCCCCAAATGGCCCAACAATTCAGGTTAGTGAAATATGTTCAAAATTGTCTAGAATCAAGAAATATGATGATAAAGGGAGAATTGAAGTATCAAGATTGTATTGTGGATATGGGGTGCGTTCCTTGAAGTTTAGGGTTTTTTTAAGTGGAATAGTAATGGGATGGTGTGGGATGTGCCCTGCTGAATCAATGGGATGTCCCCAATCTCACCATAAGTAGGAGGCATGGTTACCATTCCCAAATGGCAGGTTTATGACATTGTTTATCCCACATTACACCAGAATACCCTCTGGTAATTCAACATAGCCATGGAAGCCCTGGCCCGCCCATTTAGTTCGATTTACCGAAAGTTACCATGTTCCATGGCTATATTATATTTGATGACTGGCGGGTACCGGATCATTTTGATCATTTTGTAATTCTCATCTTGTTATATAATTTTGGATAATCTTAGACAAAACCAAACAAGATGATCCAACATGCTCCTGAATATGATGAAGAGTAAATATATGGTGGATATCTGGTCTCAAATGTGATTTTGAATGCGAATATGCTGGGGATCGAGTGGGATTAAACCCGAAAAAAACATGGAAGACGAACAACAAAATTTGATGAGGATATAGTGGGACTTGTAAGAAAAAATATGATATGGCGTGCTTGAAAGTAGCGGATTTACAGCAAATTTACCAATTTGAGTGAGGAAACTTGTCATCAGCTATCACGTTTGGGTCAGGGCGCTCGCAAAAGCTGTTCAATGGCTATTCAGACTCACAAATGCACATAGTTGCAGCAATCCATAAGTAGACACCACATGGTCATTGTCATTATTGTGTGGCAAAACCATGTCACTCTTGCTTCTTGGATTGTGTTTATACAGTGCAGCCCATTCGAGTACAACAACAAAGGTCACAAACTAAGTCATAAGTCATAAGTATTCATCGCTAGCAGTATCTCAAAACAAGTTTCCTGAACAGGTTGGCTAGTGGTTAAGAACAGTTGAGAAATAATAGTGGAATATATCCTCAATGGATATACCACCAAATTTGTGAAATAATAGTGGGATACCATCATACTACAGTGGATCTACCATACTATTCTGGTTGGTGGTTTGGAACATGTTCTATTTGTCCATATATTGAGAATGTCATCATCCCAAGTGACGAACTCCATCATTTTTCAGAGGGATAGGTCAACCACCAACCAGATATTACATAAGATCATTAACCATCAATATCCGATTTTCATATTCCCCATGGTTGTACCATATTATTAATAGTGAGATAATAGTGTGAAACTATATCATCAATATAGGATATCATCAATGGATACACCATCCATTTAATAGTGATTAAACCACTATTGAACCACTATTCATGTTGGTTAATGATTGGGTTACCAAGTGAGATAATAGTGGGATACCATCATACTACAGTGGATATACGATACTATTAATAGTGAGATAATAGTCGGATATATCATCAATGGATAGTTTCACGATAGCTTCGAACAACGCCAACCATTGCAGGATGGGAGACCTTGAGATCGTCTCTCGGCCCTGCAAAGCCATCGACCCCGGCAACGTGCACGGCTTCGGCAAGAGGCCGGCCATAAAAAGGTAGGTTTGATGGTTTTGGATGGAGATTTTCCCATTAAAACCCTCCATTTTCAGGATGATTTTCCCATTAGGATGGTTTAGGAGGGTTTCGGATGGTTTCAAGCCAAATCGAAGAACAATTTGGATGTTTGAGCAGAAATGACTGTGTTTTTGCAAGAAGAATGGAGATTGGAGCGACTAAAGTTGGACTGCGGCACGAAACAAGGGTTGATCGATCAGCTGAAAAACGGAGATGTTCTACCGAACGGAGAAACTCGTTTGCCAAAAATGGGTATGTATGTGAAAGCCTAAAATTACCAACAGAGTGGTGGCACAGCCAACAAGCCAGCGACCCCATAGTCCTGAGCACCACGCCCAACTTTATTTTGAGTCTACCCATTTACACAGATGTCTTCATTTCATTGGTAAGTAAAGGAATGCTTCATATCAACCCCAAAGTTCAAGAATCGCAAGTTCGAATCTGTGCTCCCAATCATTGCCCAAGAAAGGGGGTTCCTAAGTTATTTTTGGGTTAGTAAACCCCCATAGGTTCAACCAATGGCGTTCCCATAGGGACGCCAGGATGTCGACGCAGATCAGCCAGCTTCTGCAGAAAGGCGAGTCGTCGAAAACATGTGGCTGAAACTGGGGGTAGAAAGCCCACCGTGAGAAAAATATGATGATATTTTTATGATGATATAAATATGATACATGTGTGTATAATTATGTATATATATATATATACACATGAATTGATATGATATTATATGACATGATATGACTTGATATGATGTTTATGCATTGGGGATGATCAACCATCAACATGTAAACCAATCATGGGATTTCATATGGGTGAGGACTGGTGAAGGAGAGTTTGAGACTTTAATCTCTAGTCATGGAGGAATGTCATAGGTATCTAAGATCAGCCATGGTGAAATGTGGATTTGAAGGTCACAAATCTTGGAATTGCCACAGATCATGGGCATGAGGAGAACTACTGAAACCATTCAAAAATTCGCAAAATGGACTTCCTTAAATACAGGGAGTTTTGCAGAGCTATTGTGAGCGAACCTAATTGGATGCCTCAATTTCACATTGTCTGATGGCTGAGAAATCTATAATTCATCTGAAATTGCGACATCCCAAGTGATTTTGGTCCAATATGTGTTCAGGACGTGTTCGAAATAAATCCATACATACATACATACATGCATGCATACATACATACATACATAACCATACATAACCATACATAACGATACATAACCATACATAACCATACATAACCATACATAACCATACATAACCATACATAACCATACATAACCATACATAACCATACATAACCATACATAACCATACATAACCATACATAACCATACATAACCATACATAACCATACAAAACCATACATAACCATACATAACCATACATAACCATACATAACCATACATAACCATACATAACCATACATAACCATACATAACCATACATAACCATACACAACCATACACAACCATACACAACCATACACAACCATACATAACCATACATAACCATACATAACCATACATAACCATACATAACCATACATAACCATACATAACCATACATAACCATACATAACCATACATAACCATACATAACCATACATAACCATACATAAAAATACATAACAATACATAACCATACATAACCATACATAACAATACATAACAATACATAACAATACATAACAAGACATAACAATACATAACAAGACATAACAATACATAACAATACATTCATAACAATACATAACCATACATAACCATACATAACCATACATAACCATACATAACAATACATAACAATACATAACCATACATAACAATACATAACAATACATAACAATACATAACAATACATAACAATACATAACAATACATAACAATACATAACAATATAGATAACAATATATAACAATACATAACAATACATACATAACATTACATGCATAGCATTACATACATAACATTACATGCATTACATTACATACATAACATTACATACATAACATTACATACATAACATAACATTACATACATACATACATACAGAATCATACAGACATACATACATTACATTACATTGCATTGCATTGCATTACATTACATTACATTACATACATACATACATACATTCATAACATAACATGACATAACATAACATAACATTAATACATGCATACATGCATACATGCATGCATGCATGCATACATGCATACATGCATACATGCATACATGCATACATGCATACATGCATACATGCATACATGCATACATGCATACATGCATACATGCATACATACATACATATATATATATATATACATATATATATATATATATTCGTTCCATTTTCCACCCCGCCACAGGGGTGGACGTGACGACGGTGGCGGAGGCCTTTCATTTGGATCCCGAGGTTGTGGAGGAAGTGCACCGCGTGCAGGCGGCAGGGATGGCGTAGCAATGGGAGGAGTTTCCACCAGAAGTTCTTCAAGGTTTAAGTGCACAATTAGTTTAAATATTTGAAACCACCAAATAACAGCCCCCACGGTTTATATCATCCATGTATCAAAATGGTGATATTAGGGATGGTTAATGGTATTTTATGGTGGCTAGGCCACATGATAAGCCCATGGGTTTTTGGATACCCTCTAGTAAACGAACATAGCCATGAAAAATGACCTATAAATGGCCTATTTATAGTTGAGTTACCCTCTGGTTATTTAACAGTTCGCCATGGTATAGATGGCCCATAGAAATAGATGGTTTACCTATTAATAGCATGGTGATTTTCCATGGCGAACTGTTAAATAACCAGATGGTACCACCTTTAATTTATTTGGGAGATTGCCCATGTATTTCTACGCAACCATGATTATACCATGATTGTGGGAGATAAATTCATAGAATGATGGGAGATATAACCAATTAAACCAACCACCATTTGGATATCATCCTGATTGGATGGGAGATATAATCAAATAAAAATGTGGGATGGTCGATAAAATGTCTGATGTAATGGGATATGCAACCAAAGAAAAACATGGGTGTGTCCAAAAATATTATTTGGTGGGCTCGCAGTGCGAGGAATTATGACAATTGATAAATTATCAGAATGTCTTGTTTCGGCCATCTTAAACATCACCAAAGATGGTTGAGATGATAATATCCATGTTTCTGTGATGTTTGAGTTTCGGCTTTCACCATCCCAAGAAATGTTTTTGTGTTTTTTTTTGGTGGTGGTGTTTGCTAATATAGCCAGAGGGGATAGAAGTAGACATGATCATTCTATAGGTATATGATATATGGCAGAAAGTAATAGCAAATTGAGAAACACAGAGGATACAATATACTTAATACTTGTTGATTAATTGGTTGGATGGCAATACAGGCAATGAAAAAAGTTAAAATTAAGCTTATTTCATCACTGATTAATTAGGGATGCAGCGAATAGAAACTGCCATGTCAACCGTTCATGCAAAAGGTTTTTCGCCCAGAAAACAAAGGCCTTTAGTTTCAAGTGCGAATTGTATGGCGAATGATAGTGAATGATGTCCCCAGTGTAGATCGGCATATCAACCAGTATTGGTTTTATTTTCTGCCATGTTGCCATTTAACGGCAACTAGTTAGATGATTTTGCGCACCTAAACCGCACTTCTGGCTAGATTTGGCTGTGAGTGTTTGGGGTTCATATGGGCAAAACCCTTACAAGCACACCTTAGACATGATAGGTTTTCTGGAAAGATCATTCCTTGTCAGCCTAGGTATGCCTACGTCATATCACCCATCAACATTTCCCAGAACATTCGCAGACATCGCTCATGTCTGGGAGATTCAATCGGTTTTTCGATTGAGGATTCGATTCGGAGATAGCTACCATGGAGTTCACGTTTTTCTTCTTTCTGTTGAGAGTTTACCAAGCGTCCCTGGTGCCCTGCAGCGTGGAAAAAAGTGGTCGGGCCCTCTTGTGTCGGGACTCGGCCGGGAACAACTGCGGAAAATCTGACCATCAGATCATGGTGCCTCCCCAGAAGTCTGACACAAGAGGTAGCCCAGAAAAATTGCAAAAAAAATATGTAGAAATGAACGATGTTGACCTCCCAAAACCTTGGGAAGAACATCCGAAAGATGGGGATGATCTAGATTCATATTTCATATTATTTCAAGTAGGTTGCCATTGCCATCATGGATATCATGGTGATCAGAGCTTCCCCAGGCGAAGGAGCACAGTTGGTTTGGCTGGGACGAGGCGGCGGAGCCGCGGAGCTTGCGCCAACGAGGGGTAAGTTGGAGAAACTAGGCCTACTAGGCTAGCTACAATTGTGGGGATCTGTTAAATTTTTGTTTACAGCAAGATTGGTTTAGAAACCAACTTATAATTGTGGGGATCTGGATTGTGGCCTTCGCAATTCAAGGTATTATGAAGAATTTCCACAGGAATTCTGGGCGTGTTTCCCCTCATCCAATTGGGATGGAGGTCCCCAATGATCAGCGCAGGCACATTACCAGCTGCTGCCCACAGATGACATGGTCCAATTGGAGGCAGGGCCTTATGACCCTCGCAAGGTTATGACGTGGTTATCACTTCCCCCAAAAACGAACATCAATTACTCCACCAGAAAGCCTGGTCAAGTATTGAATAAAAGTTAATGTTGGTTTTTGTTGGATTCTTCACCAACCAGAGTAGTAAAAAGCGACAGATTTTTTCTGGAATTGTAAGATTTGTAAGTGTGAAACCATGTGGTTGACCATGGTTTGAGATGGTTTGTAAGTCTCACTTTTTATACACTTTACAACCTGGGTGCCATGCAGTTGCAGGTTTGGATGGGAACCATCCCAAGATGATTAACGAAGGAGTTCCATTTTCTAGTTGTGAGTATTGGGAGTCTACCCCCACCTTTAAGGGAAGGAGTAACTTATTATAAATTACTAGAATTAGTAAATATTGGTAAGTATTTATATACATATATATATATATATGTGTGTGTGGGGCCATTGACTGCTAGGGGTATGATTTTTAAAAAAAAAAACTAATTGTGAACCCCTTTCCTCATATTTTTTCATTTTTCAGGGATCACAACTTCCAGGTACAGCTGGGCAGTAGCAGCAATTCCAGCTGGTCCACGACATCCTCATGGCTTCCCTTGTTCTTCGAAGCTCAACACCTTGACCAAGTGCTGCAACGCTGCAGGCGGGGGCCCCAGATGGTGAAGAAATGCTGGAAATTTTGACCTGGATCCGTTGACCCATGGCCCACGTGGCGGTGAATATCCCGATTTTGCGTCCGGCCACTCTCATGGTTCATTCGTTTTGGCCGCTAGGTAACTACCTATTGCTTTACCATATGTTTTTAACCATTTAATAGCGCAGGGGCCTGTCTGAAAATAAGGTACCCAACTGAAAATCAAGGGTTTATCATCATTTTCCCACACAAAAACGGTGATAGTTCAAAATGGCTGGCGAATCCCTCATTTTGAGAGAAAGTTGCCGATGCTTCCCAGGGAAGCCAAGAGTGGACACCTGCAGCTACAGAAGCTCGGTGCGGTTTGACGGATGGATGGTTACTTCCCATAGATACCTTCGATGGATTTTGTCTCTTTTTGTATATACCCTCTAGTTATTTAAAGTAGCTATGGAAAATGGCCCATTTATAGATGATTTTTGATGATTTACCTAGTAAAATTTGTGATTTCCCATAGCTACGTTAAATAACCAGAGGGTATATATATATATATATATATATATGTGTGAAGAGATGCCTGCATTCAGCCACTGATGCCAGGTTGCTGTGAGCCACCGACACTACATGCTGCCTGAACCTGCCATGGTTCAAACCATAGCTGGCCCGAGGGAAAGTCCCGGTCCGTCAGTGCCCCTGACCGGCCATGACAGTAACCTCATGGTCCGCTTGCTGCGGGAACACATGAAGGAACAGAAACCAAGAGAGAACAGAACAGATAAGCACAACAGTGAACCACATGGACAAGGCCAACAGATCGTTGCATGTGTACAGTATAACATATACCTTTCTTTGTTCGTGGCATGAAAACAGCTTGCGCGCTGCCAGTGCACGCTTCGCACTGGTAGCGGAGCTTGCGCTTCGCCGCCGCCATGTCGACTGCTGGATCGCAGCCGTTCTTCAGAGATGATGAGGTGGTTGTGGATCGAGATGGGATCCCTCACTACACGGGATCAATCCCAGGACTGATGCGGGAATACCGCCAGAGGGTGTTGTTTGCCTTCAACAACCTGGAGGGCGATGGCAAAGATGAAGCAGAAGAAGCCCGAGACCTGGCAAAGAAGAAACAAAGGTTTGGCAAGAGATTGCTGGACGCCTTGCATGGTGAGGCCTACAAAGCCTGCGAGGACTTGATGGCCGACCACGAGAAGCTGAGAGAGCCAGAGGGGTACAAACACATCTTTGCAGCGCTCCAGACGATCGAGAAGGTCAACATCGTCAAGCGCACCGAAGCCTTCGACAAGTTCTTTGACTCTTCTCAGCGGAAGAGGGGACAGCCGGTGGACACCTACATCCGGCAAAGGAAGCAACAATGGTCCGAGTTGCAGGATGTGGCAGAGAACGTGCAGATGTCTGAGGATCTTCGAGCCTACTTCCTGCTGAAGCACGTGGGCATCACCAGAGAAGATCGACGGACGGTTCTCCTGGCCAACCAGAGCAACTACACCATGGAGGGGATCGAGAAAGCCCTGCGGACAAGCTTCTACGACCTTCATGAGAAAGAACGTCAACGAGATCAATCTGGGTTGTCGAAGAGCTGGGGTCGCAAAGGCGCTGGCCGTGGCATGCGCTCCTATGCTGCCGCAACTTCGGATGACACTTCGTCATGGGCTGCCATTTCCGAGGAAGTGGATGAGGACGCCTTTGAAGAGATTGCAACAGAGGAGGCCTATGCCGTGGAGAGCAATGCTGATGGCGCGCTGGAGACTGAGAATGCAGAGGTTTCCGACTATGGTGCATCCGAGGATGACGAGATCTTCCAGGCCTACTCCACCTACAAGGACAGCCGCAAGAAGCTCAAGGACATTCAGAAGTCCAGAGGCTACTTCAAGAACGATGGCAAGTACCAGAACAATGCTGCTCGAGATCAGGCCAAGCAGGCCGAGAAAGCCAGAAGCCGATGCGCTGCCTGTCATCGGTTGGGTCATTGGGCTGGTGATGCAGAATGTCCAGCCGCAACACGGAGTGGACCCAAGAAGGTTTTCAAGGGTGGCAAGAACAAAGGATCTGGGAAAGGCCGTGCTGGCAAGGCCTACATGGTGGGTGAGTCGCCAACCTTTTTCAGCTTGGGCGATGACCTGGAGGAGGAAGAGGCCTACTGCGACATGGTCTTCGACGATGGGGATAGCAACATCAATGACATGCAGCAGGACTCTGGATTCACAGAGACAGACCTTCGGCGCAAGACCAATCAGACTGGTCGCACCACTGAGTCAGGCACTTCTGGCTCAACTCCATGGGTGAACCCTGAGGAATCGCCAATGGTTCCCATTCCAGTTCAGGACTTGCGGGTCTACTATGTCAATGACTTGGAAGATGCCTGCCCCAAGTACCTGAAGGAGGACAAGCTGACGCTTAGAGAGCTTCAAGCTTTGTGCGACAAGTGGGAGGTCAAGGTCTCTGGAACCAAGGAGGAAGTGAGAGATCGTTTGGTCCGCTTCTTTGCTGGCCAAGCCGTCGTGCAGAAGGGTTACTCCAAGCTCTACGTGCAACTGCGGGAGAGGGAGCTACCAAGTTCCCGGGATATGCCTTTGGCGCCTCGTCCCAACTACAAAGCGCCACCAACAGCTTTGGCAAAGGCAAAGGCAAAGGCATCAACATCGACCGCATCCTCTACACCAACTTCTGGTCGTGGATATGCAGCTGGAGCCAAAGATCGAGGCAAAGCAGTCACTGAGATGATGATGGGAAATGAGGACTGCCGTTTCTTTCGGCCCACTGCAGAGCACTTGGAGGAGACACCCAAGAAGGATCCAAAGACTGGCATTGCAGTTCCCGACGAGCTCGAGGTTGGAAAGCCACATGCCGCAATTGTTTGCGCTTTCTGTGGCCGCCCTATGGTGCTTCGTCGTCACTGGTCGGACTCAAGCCTTTACTTTGAATGCTCCGATCCGAACTGCAAGCACTTCACCAACTACAAGGATGGACTCGAGCTGCTGCGGGCCTCAAAGCCTGCCAAGTCCGAGAAGTGATCTGGAAGCAGCGACAGTTTCACCCCAAAACCAAGGTCAAGCTATGATGGTTGGGGATGCATGGCAGAATTCAAGCCTTTGGGAGCCCAATAGAACTGAGAGCCACGATGAATTCGACAGTTTTGGTTTTGTTTTCGGTGGCAACGATACCACCGAGGGAGGTCACCATTTTGGCCCTTCCGACAATGTGATCGATGAGTCTCAAGTTTGCCTCATTGACACAGCATGCACCTCATGCATGCACTCCAAAGCCTGGAGGGAAGCCTTTCAGAAGACGCTTCCTGATGGTGTCAGCTGCTCTTTGACGCCAGCCAAGAAGATTTTCCACTTCGCCAACGGCCAGAGCACGCAAGATCGCTTGCCGGTGTGGCGGATCCCAATCTATTTGGATGGTTTCAAAGGTGAGGTTTTCTCAGCTGAAGTCCCAGAAGGGAACACACCACTCCTTTTGTCCATTGCAGCCATGACGGCCCTTGACATGGTGATTTGTTTGAAAGAGCAAGAGGTCGCCGTCAAGAAGCTGGGCATCACCATGCCGCTGCAGAGGACGAGAACCAGACATCTTGCTTTGAATGTCGCCTTCAACCCTAAGATTGGAGAGCGCGATGTTGGACAGATAGGTCAACATGGACCACGGGCAACATCAGAGCAAGAAGATCTTTTGGTTTACTTTGTAGAGGAGGCTCGTTTTGGATTGCTTCAACATCAATTTCTTGGAAGTTTGGATGAACCAGAGTTCAGCAACAAGGTGTTGAGCAAGCAGCCAAACATGGACGAGCGTGGTGTGAAAGCGGAGGACAAGAAACACCAAGTTTCCGAGCGCAGATGCAAGGAGCTGAATGAGGCTCGGAAGCGGATCAGGGTGGAGGATCGAAGGACATGGGCCGCCTTGAAGCGGGAGTACACCATGGCTGAGCAGTTGGCCACCAATGACTTCAAGTGGACAGTGTTGTTTGAGCCCTTTGCTGGCAGTTTCGCCACAACGAGGGTAGCTTCAGCCGAGTTTGGTTGGACATGCTCACAGCCGCTGGATCTTTTGGATGGCTATGACTTGCTGTCGAAGTCGGGGATCCAAATGCTTTGGGATGTTTTGCGGCAACACCGTCCTGTGATCATTCTCATTGCCTTTGACTGCCGTATCTGGAGCCTTTTAACCAACTGCAATCCTGGTACTGACTGGGAACTTCTCAGAAGCACTTTGGGAAAGAAAACTCTGGACCTGATTGCCCAACTTTGCATATGGCAAGATCAACATGGGGCATACTACTTGCTGGAGAATCCCGCTGGTTCTTTGGCTTGGGTCTATGAGGGCATTTTGGCCCGACTACTGGTGGAAGCAAATGGAAAGTATGCCACCGGTGACCAATGTTGCTTTGGGAAGAAAGATGCCGACACTGGAAAGCCTGTGCGGAAGGCGACGGGATGGCTTTGCAACAGCGAGCACATCTTGAACCGGATCGCCAAGAGGTGTCGGTGCCCTTTTGGAAGCCATCAGAACGTGGTTGGCAGCAACAGTTTGGGGCTCAGATCGAAGCAGGCGGCCATGTACCCTAGAGCTTTGTGCCGGGCGATTTGCCAGGGACTTCTGGACACTATGGTCTTTGACTACAGCTGGAAGGTCCCAAACTTTGAGGCCGCGTTTCCAACGTTTGAGGAGCAGTCAGAGGAGGTGTCATCTGGCTATGAACCAAGCATCGCCGAAGAGGATGAGACCACAGACCAATGGTTCATCGATGACGATGGTGCTTTGGTGAGGTCCCACGTTGTACCTCGCAACAAACTCTTTGTGCCTCGTCAGGCTGATCCCAACTTGCCAGTGGAGTACAGCAGCATCATGCCGATACGGCACACCATTCTCCAACACCAAGATGGAACAGTGCAGAACCACACCGATGACTGGACCATCAAACAGGAGGAGGTGACCAACCTTTACTGGACGGGTCAGACAAGGTTCACTTTGGACCACACACCTGTGATGGATGAACAGCAGCTTGTGGAAGCTGATGGCCCTGAAGGTGACGCTGCAGAACCTGGAAAGCAAGCAAAGCCGAAAGCAGCTGGCAAGAAGCCTGACAAGACCCTGCGGAGACGCAGAGTTCGCACACGACAGCTTCAAAGAGGTTTCTGGCGAGAAGAGCGTGAAGAAGAACCTTTTTCACTACTGCAAGAGACTCTGGAGCAAGTGACAGAGGTTGGTGGAAAAGATTGGCATCGCCTGGATGACCAGTCACCGCTCTTTGAACAGTGGCGCAACCTTGAGAGCGCCAATGCTGAGGTCAGTTTGATTTTGGCATCAACAACAGCCAGACGCCTGAAGAAACCACAGCCTTTTCTTGGTGCAGCTGAAGCTCCTATGCGGAAGTCCTACATCCTCTTGAAGGACTCCTTTCTGAGCACCGACTGGGAGCAGTGGACACAAATGTCACCAGCTTCACAGATTCGACCTCTGATAGCACGAGACCGGAAGCTCTATATCGCCATCTTTGGCAAGGAGCTTGGAGCACAAGTTCAACATGGTGATGAAGAGGACGATAGATGGAAAAGACTGGAGGAAGACAGGGAGCGCAAATGGCAAGCACTTCCGAGAGAGCTCAAGCTTGCAGTGAAGCGCATCCATGTCAACCTTGGACATGCCAACATACCCACCATGCTGAGAGCCTTGAGAGTTTCGAAGGCAAGTGAAGCAGCCCTTCGAGCAGTGCGCCTGTTTCGGTGCATGGATTGCCCTCGCATCCAAAACCCAAAGGAGCCGAGGCCAAGCAAAATGCCCATCACCGATGAGTTCAATGTGCAGATTGGCTTGGACATCATCCATGAGAATGACAGCTCCGGACAGCCTTGGTCCTGGCTGAACATTTTCTGCCAAGGGACGCAGTTCCAAGTTTGCGTGCTTTTGGATAGTGCTGGTCAACCAACTGGTCAGCAGGTGGTGGAGGCTTTTGGTTTGGGATGGACAAACTGGGCTGGTTTTCCTGAGCGTGGCGTGGTGGCAGACAGGGCGAAACCTTTTCTTGCAGCCTTGTCAGATGAGGTTGCAGACCATGGTTGCACTTTTGGCTCAGCAGCCAAAGCTTCCCCATGGCAGATCGGTCAGATCGAAAGGCATGGAGGTTTGTGGAAAGAAACTTTCAGAAGAGTTGTTTGGGCGCATCAAGTTTCCGGACGGCAAGATGTCATCATGACGACAGCCGCTGTGAACCAGGCCAAGAACTCACTGGTTCGAAAAGGTGGTTTCAGCCCCGCTCAATGTGTGCTGGGACGTGACGTCCGTTTGCCAGCCAGTTTGGCTGATGACCAAGAGGTCATGAGAGTTGGTGCCCAAGCCCTTGCAGCTACTCCAAGCAGCCTTTTCTACCGCAAGACTCAGCTCAGAATGGCAGCCAGAGAAGCCTTCTCTCGCAGTGCCACAAGTGAAGCCTTGAGAAGAGCAGAGCTGAGGCAGATCAGACCAAGCCGTGGACCTTTTCTCCCTGGCATGTACGTTTTCTACTACGATGCTCAAGACAGGGACCCAAGTCCAAACTGCTGGAGAGGCATCGCTCGTGTGATCGGGCGAGAAGGCACTTCAACCATTTGGATTTCTCACAGGGGACTACTTCTTGCAGTCAGCCCTGAACACCTCTCGCGAGCCTACGACCCAGAGGTCGAGCACTGGTCGGTTGTCTCCAAAGAGACAGAACTGATGGACGCCGCACCAGCAGCAGGTGGCACGGGGTTTATTGACTTGAGGAGATCCCCGGTGCCCCCGCTGACCGCTCCCGATGGAGAGGCCGAGAGGGAAAGCACAGATGGAGAAAAGAAACCAGAGGCCTTGGAGGATGCCCCAATGCAGCCAGCAGCAGCCGCCAGAGAAGAAGCTGAGGACTTGAGTTCAAGCTCAACTAGCATGGCTCGAATCAGGTGGGAGTCAGACCGTGAACAGAAGAGGTCTTTGAAGTCGGCCGAGTTCTTCGACCGCATGGCCAAGCAGAGACGGGTCAGCAGAAGCCAACAGCTTGCAGAGCTTTCTCAGGTGCCCAAGCCTGAGGACATACCAATTCCGGAGGAGACTGAGTTTGACCCGGAGGTGCACGACTTTCATCAGTCGCGCCCAACTTCAACGACCATGACACGGCAGCTCAGCCCTTTGGAAGCTGATCCTGAGACAGAAGCCAATGAGAGAGAGGCCAAACGACTCCGAACCAATGAGCCTGGAGCCAACTTCATGTTTTCCGAGAACGAGCCAACTTTTGCTTTTATGGCGACTGAGGTTCCAAAGTTTTTGGAGGAACAAGCAGTGGCCAGCTATGTGAAGCACTGCGACTTCTACCAGCAGGTTGGAGTTTCGGTGAATGAGTTCGTTTTTGGGATGAAGCGCAATGACTTCAGCCAGAGGTACCATGCGCTTGCAGCAAACCCCAACCAGACAGATCCACCGAAGAAGAAGGGTCGCAAGGAGATCAAGCTCTCCGAACTTCCAGCTCAACAGCAACGCCTTTTCACTGATCGTGACGGGTCGGATGACCGTGAATGGAAAGCATGGCAAAACAAGCAAGCCTGCGATGTTTTGAGTTTGGATGAAAGCTTGAGGATCCGGCGAGAGAAGCCTGATCTGATAGTGCCGACCAGGTGGGTCCGAACCAACAAACATGATGGTTTGGTGGGCAAGGAATTCCTTGCGAAGTCGAGGTTGGTGGTGCAAGGTTTCAAAGACAAAAGCCTTGGGCAATACAGGCGAGATGCGCCAACGGCATCAGCAGTGGCAGAGGCGATTGTTTTAGCAGTCTGCGCCTACCACCGTTTTGTGCTGTTTGCCAAGGACATCAAGAATGCCTACTTCAGCGGCAAGAACATCACACGTGAGGTCTACCTGGACCCTCCACGTGGTGGTCTTCGTGGACTTCAACAAGGGCAACTTCTCAGAGCCCGGAAAGCCATCTACGGTTTTGCCGAAGCAGCACGTTTGTTTTGGTTAGCCTTGAAGGAGCAGCTGGAGGCTGACGGATGGCAGGAGTCCAAGCTGGAGCCCGCCTTGTTTTACTTAAGGCACCAGGGTCAACTAAAAGGAATCCTCGTGACACATGTGGATGACTTGGAAGGAGGTGTATCTCCGGACTTGCAGCTCTCCGCCTTTGAGAGAGCATCTCAAGCCCTGGAGTTCGCAACCAACCACTTTGGCAGCTTCATCTTCAGAGCCAGAGAGATTCGACAGACCACTGAAGGTCACATCGATGTCTCCATGCGCAACTACTCCTTGAGTTTGAAGAATGTGAAGATTGAGAAATGGAGGAGGAAGCAGCTGGAGGATGAACTCCGCCCTGAGGAGATGGAACAGCTGAACAGTTCAGCTGGCGAGCTTGGATGGTTAGCACGGCAGTTGCGGTGCGACTTGGCCTATGAGAATGGAGCTGCGCAGCGAAGCAAGAAGGAGCCCATCGTTGCCGATCTCCTGAGGCTGAAGCAGTACCTTAGTGCTGCGCGCCGTGGTGCAGACTTCAAGATGCGCTACTGGAATGATGTGGACCTGAAAGATGGGGTCATCATACACCTGGCCGACTCCGGCCATGCCAATGGAACTCCAGAGCACAACGAGCAGATGAGATACCGCAGTGTGGGGGGGTACTTTATCCTTGTAGCTGACAAGGCGATCCTGCAGGGTGAGACCGTGAGGTGCAACATCCTGTGCTACCACTCGGGTCAGACGAAACGAGTGTGTCGCAGCACACTTGCTGCGGAAGCAAGCCATTTAGCAGAAGCAGTTGAGGCTGGTGATTGGATCACCGTCCTGTTGGAGGAGGCCTTAACAGGCGAACTGGACCTTCGGAACTGGGCAGACCTTGTGGAACGACGCCAAAGGGTCTATGTGACCGATGCCCGGTCAGTCTATGACTATCTCCAAAAGGATGCAACTTCGACATCAACTGACAAGCGGATGGCTATAGAGGGTGCGCTTTTGCGGGAGACCTGCAGAAAGCCTGGTGCACACGTCAAGTGGATCGACGGCCTGCAGAACATAGCGAATGTCCTGACCAAGCACAACGCTGAGAAGGACACACTTCGAGCATTTCTGAAAGATGGGATGATGAGCCTCCAGCAGACCGAGCAAAACAAACTGCTGAAGGAGAAACAGAGACAAGCCCGTCAGAAGAGAGCTCAGGTGAAAAGGGATGATACAGCTTTGAAGGAGCAGAAGAAACTGGAAAGACGCAAAGCTGTGCTGGCAGAAGTAAAGGATGAGAGCGGTGACAGCTCTACAAGCTCACAGCAAAGAAAAATACAATGAGTGTGAAGAGATGCCTGCATTCAGCCACTGATGCCAGGTTGCTGTGAGCCACCGACACTACATGCTGCCTGAACCTGCCATGGTTCAAACCATAGCCGGCCCGAGGGAAAGTCCCGGTCCGTCAGTGCCCCTGACCGGCCATGACAGTAACCTCATGGTCCGCTTGCTGCGGGAACACATGAAGGAACAGAAACCAAGAGAGAACAGAACAGATAAGCACAACAGTGAACCACATGGACAAGGCCAACAGATCGTTGCATGTGTACAGTATAACATATACCTTTCTTTGTTCGTGGCCTGAAAACAGCTTGCGCGCTGCCAGCGCACGCTTCGCAATATGCATATATGTATATTAAAATATTGGTAGGCTATATATATATATATGGTTTTGTCTGAAAATAATGATACCCCAGATTACCATCTGTATATAGGGAGAAATAAGGTCTTAGATCATCTATCTATATGGATATTGCTATGGCTTGGCTTTGGCTGAAAACTTTGGGATTAAGAACCAACCATTTTATGGGGATGTAAAAGGGATATGGTTTTCTCTCAAAATGATGGAGAAAAAAAACATGGTCCGGTTGATCATCGCTTTCCTTCGAAGATTTGCCAAATATTTGGGGGGGTAGCTCATTTTTGGACGAACCCAAAAGGAAATATATTCTGATGTAGCTGCCCAGAAACTACACTTGCCACATGCCATCATCGAAATCTTGGCACACCCATTTTGGCGGAGTCCTACCCAGGTTTCCTTACGGAGCTGAGAAAGGGCTCGTGGGTGTGTCCGGACCCCGGTTCCGGAGAGGTGACAAAAGATGACAGAAGGGTAGAAAGATCATGGGATGTTTTCTTTTAAAGTTAAGGCAATCCAGCCAGCGTAAAGTCTTACAGGGGTCAGAAACTCTTTAAGGTGAGGTGAAAGTGGTTGTTGTATGAACTAAAGTAGCAGTAGAAGTTGATGGGACTGGGCAACGAAAGAGGGATTTGGATATAGCCACTGAGACTGGGGATGTTGGAAAGTGATGCAAAATGTGCTTCTATCCACTAAACATGGGGATGTGAAGAATCAACATATGCCAGCACAATTGCGAAGAAACGGTCAACCTTTGGACTAGAACTCCTGTAGCTACAAGATGAGGGTGAAAATCCACAAAAAAAAAATATTTCACCATGGGTTGCGTTTCTGTTGAAAGACTTCATGACTTGTGCAGCCTTCCAACGAGGCAGAAAAAAAAATGTGGAAGATTCTATCGTACCGGACAAAAGCTTATTAATCTGCCACTTGCAAAGTCAAATCTATCCCAGGTCCCTCGAGCTCTTTTGCGGAGATGGGGCGCTGCTTCCAGTGTGAAAAATAGCGACACGGTTGCGTTTTGAGAGAACAGCAGCAACAGAAGGTGGTGCAAAATCTCGAAAACTCTTGCTGTAAACTTTACAGTGATGGCCCGTTGGATTATGTATGACAAGTTTCCGGACTACCCTCTGGCAATTAATCAGCATGCACGACTACCCTTCGGTAATCAGCATGACCATGGAAGGTTGCCCGGTAGTGGAGATTTATATTCTGCTTGTTGGAGAAAGTTCAGTTGGAGCATCTTATTTCCTCACCGTTGCTGTTGGTTGAAACATATATTCCCCATGCTTGCCAATCCTGTTTGAGTACAATTGAGCTCAATTCCCAAGTTCAATGGCATCTTTAGGTGAAAATGCCTATTGCATGGGCTGACTCAGCGTTTTGCTCCAGCAGAGGCCTATGCGGCGCGGCCAGAAGTGTTACAATGACAGATGGGCAAAAATTGCATCCACCCACAGTCGAATTATGGTAGAAAATGTCAGAGGATATCTTGAAACAGGTTCGGTCCGAAAAAACATCAGCCTTTTCCAGGTGTACCATCCCACAGAACATGTCAACGCTTGAGAACATTTCACGGATCAGATTGGCAATCCCCAAGCTCCACGGATCTTCAATCATCTCATCCCAAGCTCTTCATTGCACCGGGGACGAGCGCGGGTGACTTCTTAGGACCCAAGGCAGGGCCTCAGGGGTTAGCACTGGATGGGCACTCTAGTATGTCAATCTCTTACTATATATGGAAATGTGTTCTGTGTAAAAACAAGCTAAAGCTTTGATTACCGGGTATATCAGTGGTCATGAAAGAACGCAACTCGTTAGCAAATGGCGGAATCGCCGAGGGACTGTCTCGTTGAACGCGCAGGAAGGTTTTTAGAGACTGTGCAACTCCATGTCTGCGTGCCAGTGCAGCTGGAGCTTGCTCAACGCATTGTAACAGCCATGACAGGAGAAACAGGAGGAGTTACAGAAGAGGTAGCCAGTAGGAAGTAGCTGGGCAAGATGATGCTCAGCGAAGAAGTGGCTGACAGAAGCGAAGAGGCAGGTCAGACAAGAAAGGCAGCTTAGAGTAGAAGTAGCTTGGCGAAGAACTTCATGCATTCATTATTATGCATTCGCTCATTCATTCAATCATTCATTCATGCACCCTTTCATTCATCCACAATCATTATTGCATGCATTCATGCGTTCATTCATGCCTTCGTTCATTCATTGTTCATTCATTCGTTCATTAATTCCCCAAACAGGCTTACCTGTATGGGGTTCTTACTCCTTTCAAAGGGTTGCATCCCTGGGCCGCATGAGTTTACCTCTGTCTCCGGGCTTGTCTCCCACTCTGGGTGCCTTGGGCCGCATGAGTTTACACTTGTCTCCCCCTTGTCTCCCACTCTGGGTTCGTTGGGCCGCATGAGTTTACACTTGTCTCCCCCTTGTCTCCCACTCTGGGTGCCTTGGGCCGCATGAGTTTGCACTTATCTCCCCCTTGTCTCCCACTTTGGGTGCCTTGGGCCGCATGAGTTTACACTTGTCTCCCACTTGTCTCCCACACTTGTCTCCCACCTTGGGCCGCATGAGTTTACACTTGTCTCCCCCTTGTCTCCCACTCTGGGTGCCTTGGGCCGCATGAGTTTACAGTTGTCTCCCCCTTGTCTCCCACTCTGGGTGCCTTGGGCCGCATGAGTTTACACTTGTCTCCCACTCTGGGTGCCTTGGGCCGCATGAGTTTACACTTGTCTCCCCCTTGTCTCCCACTCTGGGTTCGTTGGGCCGCATGAGTTTACACTTGTCTCCCCCTTGTCTCCCACTCTGGGTGCCTTCGGCCGCATGAGTTTACACTTGTCTCCCCCTTGTCTCCCACTCTGGGTGCCTTGGGCCGCATGAGTTTACACTTGTCTCCCCTTGTCTCCCACACTTGTCTCTCACTCTGGCCTTGGGCCGCATGATTTTACACTTGTCTCCCACTTGTCCCTCACACTTGGGTGCCTTGGGCCGTATGAGTTTACACTTGTCTCCCCCTTGTCTCCCACACTTGTCTCTCACTCTGGGTGTCTTGGGCCGCATGATTTTACACTTCTCTCCCACTCGTCTCCCACACGTGTCTCCCGCTCTGGGTGTCTTGGGCCGCATGAGTTTACACTTGTCTCCCCCTTGTCTCCCA